TTGTACATCTGGAAATTGTGGAGAAAACACCGTTGAACTACCCCTGGAAATCCTGCTCGGCATCTTTTCTTACAGACAAATAGGCACAATAATAAATCATCAACAAACATAACATTAGCAGATATGTTTATGACTATCGATGAATATAGAGAATTAGTTTTCAAGAACAAAATGATCATTGATGATTTCTTGAATCATCAATCATCATCAATATGGATAGGGCATCCCCACTTCAAAGCTTCTATATCATAGACAATCATCAGCTTCGCCATGAAAATTACCAAAAAACCATCCAAAAACTCACCATTTTCAGATCGCCAGGTGTCCATCTGCCACATGTCCAAGCCCTCCTGGCAGTTGAAGGGGTCGCGGTTCGGCCCTGCGGCCGAAGTGGACTTCGGCACAGTGCTCGGGCGAGGTGTGGAGGTTGGCACCTGAGCCAAAGCTAGGGAGGTGGCATAACTAACCTACCACATCTTTGGGAAAATGAATGTTTTTACCACCAAAAAAGTTGTTGTACTGATGATCCATGGTGTGGTTTAAGGGAAAATGTGCAGGAAACTCGGGAAACCACCCTTTGAATCCTTGACAATAAGGCATTCGTGCAGTTTTTCCCTTTGAAAAAACTTGGTAATAAATGGAAATAACCCAATGAATGAAAAATCAGTTACAAGTCTGAACTCGGACACATTCTTTCGGTTGTGGACGGAAGCCCGCTGATTGGGATGTTCACCGAATCAGCCTGGTGATTGGAGAATTTTCTTGCCCCAAGCATGTCTAGCCCATCACGGTGAGATGGATGACCCAGCAAACCTCATACGAGACAGCCCCAGCTATTGTCAACTTGTTTTTGGCCCGAACCGGATCTGGACATGGCCATGGGAATGTTCCATCGGGACAAGACCATGAAACTGGATCCCGGAAAACTTCTGGCTCCAAAAACTCACACATAAGTTGTCCCACTGGCCGTATTTACGCACAAGGTTGGTGTGCATGGGGAATCTTTGCAACGACAGGGTATTACTACTTGCTATTGGGGTCTTGACTCCTACTTACCCCCAGTTATACCCCAATCAACTTCAAGCTACATCCAACCCCTTTCATGTCAGATATTTGGTTGCCCCCGAGCGAGGTTGTGGAGGAATCGAGTATATAGGTCTAAGCTGACTGGGTTGTAAGCTCATTTTTGCTGGCAAACCACCTCTTTTTGTGACATTTATAACCTCAAGGGCTGGTAGCGGGGGAACTGAGGTCAACACATTCGCAGCACCAAGACAGGCCCTGCCTGCAGCGAAGGTGGTTTGGACCCTGGTTGGCATATGAAAAGTCTATACGTGGCTGGCTTATGCAAGCTTAGAGCCTTATATTTAAAATACCATGCCTGCATCCACCCATCCATCCACCCACCCATCCATCCACCCATCCACCCACCCACCCATCAACCCATCCGCCCATCTACCTTACGTGAAAAGCTACCCCAACCAAGGTTTACCACATCAGAGGTGGTGAAAGGTTCCATGCTAACGTCAATATATTCAATATGATTCAATATGATTCAATAGATATTGTTAGTTTTCATCTTCAGCAACCATCCATTCAAGAGATGTTTGAAGTCCCCAAGATGGGACATGTGCCGGCCCCCATCTACGGCATTTGTCTTGAAAGAGAAACCATGAATTGTACCTTCAGGTAAGAAGCTTTGAAACGCACTCAACGTTCATAGTCTAGGGATGTCTAGGGAGGATAAGATCACCCAAAGATAAAACCGAGAGCCACCCTTGCACCCCCAAAACTCATAGCCAGGTATATAGGTTTCCCCACATGGCTAATCTTGAACCTACGAGGTGGTGCCAATGTTTTTCTTGCTTAGCCCTCATCAACTGTATCAACGATAGGCGTATGTGTATATATATATATCTCTCTCTCTCTCTCTCTATCTATCTAATCTAATCTAATCTAATCTAATCTATCTATCTATCTACATATATTGTTTACCATAAACCCCAAAAGTGCTAGCAGAACGCACTATCCACTAGCAACATGTACCATGCCTACTCATGCGACAGCACATTCTCAAGTGCAGAAGCAACCAATGCATTACTGGATGATGGTAAATTGGTATGCCCCATATACCCTCCAGTAAATTCACATAGACCCTGCCAAATGGTCGCTTGAAAAAAATTTGGAAGATTAGTTTCCACTCAAAGCTGACCATTTTCAGATTCTTCAGGCCCTGGGGCCCTGGGGCATCACCGGCCCTGGGCGGTTCGGTGCGTGAAACGAGGTGCTCACGGGGCAGCGGTCGCAGAGGCCCTTGCACTCCCGGAGAACCAAGGCATGGGCCAACTGGCAGGGAGATGTCTCACCTCCCAAAATCAGGTGCCGAGGGGTGACGAATGGTGTACTGCTTGGTGGTTGAGCCCTTGAGCCCTACCCCTCTGAAAAAATCATGGAGTGAAAGTCAGTTGGGATGATGACATTCCCAATATATTAATGGAAAAATGGAAAAATCATGTTCCAAACCACCAACCAGTTTATGATGATTCATGTTGATTATAGAATGGTGATCAACGGTGATTGATCTTTATTGTATATGTATATAACATTATATAACGGCGAAGAATGGGTACAATGGTTACAACAGCAGGAATAGTTTCATCGCTGATGGCTTATATACCAATGATGTATGGCACTGCGGGACCCGCAGATAATTCCCCGTACAGAGAAGCTTTCACAACAATTCACAACTTCGTTCATCGTTTTTGGTCATTTTTTTGGGTCGTTACCATTTGCCATGTGGCCATGGATCAATAGCCATAAACATCATTTATTTAGGGTGGAATTTACCATCATTTTACCAGCTATTTTGGCCCATAGCCGCTATGCCCAGCAGGAAAGCTGTTGGGCTTGGAGTCACCCCGCCTAAGAAGGTGTGCACTGAGGCAAAGTGGATCCTCTCTTCGCAGGTCACCTGGACAGAAAAAGGCTAGAATCGAAAGGCCATGGCCATGGATGCCATGGAAAAAACACCCAACATATGCGGTTTTTATATTATCTTTTTATCATGGTTGATCATCAGTTTTTTGGCATTGAAACTTGCCCCCAATTGGGCCAAAATCCCATCAAGATCCTATTTTTCTGAATCTTTATGGACCATCTGAAGCGTCATTGCACTAACAGAACCCCCTCCATCGTCACCTCGACGTTTTCCAAGGTGCAAGTCCTTTGGCAACCTGGAAAGGTGCTGGTGAGTGTAGTCGTCCTGCGCCAGCACGGTGCTTACGTGGGGCACCCTGACCCAAAAAAACGCTAGTCATTCTTAGGGTCATGTTTAGGAACTCAAACCATTCCAAAATGGTTTGGTTATGTTTTCAAGCCATATCCACAAGGTCCGGTGCCCCAGGGCCCAGAACGATTGTAGAGTTTGAAAAGAGGGAGCAATAAAGAAGGCCTCCGGTTTTTCATGGTTATCCATGGTTATCTCACCACTCTGGCGAGCAATGGGATGACGAAAGAGGGGGAGAAAAAAAAAACTATTGCAGCATATCAGTCATATGATCCTGGGTTGAAGGTGCGTCCTCGTGCTGGTCTTGATGGTGGTGGTGGGGGGGCATCCTCGGTTCGTCTTCCTGCAGCACCAAATCTTCTTGCCCGGGGACCAACCATGGACCCAGTTCATGTAGCCGCTCTCGCAGTCGAACCTCAGGGGATGAGCAGATTTGGGGACCCAACTCTTAGACCCCAAATGATCCCAGAGAATGGCCCAGTCAATCCCCATCGGTCGCCATCGAACCCCCAAGGGACGCGTGTTGTGGGCAGCCCATGCCCAGCTCAGCACAGCAATGCGCTTGCTTCTCAACGTCCCAGTAGAGGTGCACCTAATCGGTTTGGATTGGACATGACACGGTGTCAACCAATAGAAGTGGGGAGTTTACCAGCAGAAATCCGGGAACCTATCCTGACATGTCGGGTTTTTTCTCAACATATTTGGGCAAAAAACTGACATCTCACAGTTGAGAAAGCCATGTTCCCCCCATGATTGACCGTAAGTTGGGGGTATAATCATTTTTGGATAAACCAGGCAGTGGCATTTGTGTCGTCTGGCTAGGGATTGCTGGTGTTCACATCTCAATAACTGGATTTTCCTATATATCTATATCTCTCTCTCTCTCTCTCTCCATCGCCTTCTAATCCTTCTACATGTTTTATGGCATCATGGGTTTTGATTCATGCCCATGCCTTCAAACACCTCAAAAACTATATAATTCTAAAGTCTAACTTCTTTCAGCTGAGATCATGATGCCACGAATATGCCACAAGTTTCATCTACGCCCTGTCCTACGCTGGCACACCAGCCATCACCATGGATTTTCGGCATCGCAACCAGTGGATTTTATCGCAGCTGGGCGGCGTTGTTAAGGCCGTCTTTGCAGTCATAAATCGTGGGCCCCACTCGGATCACGTCCTGGCAGGCTTGACCAATTTTGAGCCCATTAAGACATGGGTATTCCATACAAGAACCCCTCCAAATGGTTGGTTGGCACCTTTTCCAAAATGGCTGAATCCTGTTCCATCTATCAACCTCCAGGCCTCTGTACTCGCGCATTGCTGTGGTGTCGTACTGGTAAACACCCAAGTCTTGTTGCTTGAATTGCCCCTGTCATATTTCCTCCACTGTACCTCCTTAGTCTTGGTTGCTTCAGAAGTCTTGTTTGCTCTTTGGAACCTGTTTTGTCTTTTTTTTGCCAGCATCAAAAGGCCAATGCCTTTGCTTCCCAAGTACATTGTCCAACTTCATTTTTTTGGCTTAAGAAGCCTTGCGCTTATGACTGGCCTTGCCGAGTTTCATCCAATGGATTGGCTCGCAAGAAAGATTGCGGGAAACCATTCTTTCCAAGTAAGTACCGATAAATAGCTGCTATAGCGATAAATGAATCGTGTCCAGCAAATCTAGAGAAATCATGATCAACATTGATAAACCCCAGTAGTGGGTTCCAGTAACCCAGTTTCCCTTCAACCAAATCTGACATTCGCAGTGCCACAGGTCCCTTTCGCCTGGCTCAACCTGCGCTCCATGACTTCGGTGCTCGGCGCGGGTGCCGTGGGTGCCGTTGTGCGGTTGCGGCAGTGGCCATAGAGGGCACAGCACCAGGCCTCGAGGCAGCGGCCATGGTTGAAAAACCTATAGCAATTCGCAAACCAAAAAAGGTGGAAACCTGGAAGTCACAGTATGATTTACCGAGAAAATGTGCACACAGAACTCTCGGTTCGGCGTGAGACTTCTCCACGTCATCTTTCAATCGCCTGGTCTTTGTCAGTCAAGTCTGATTAATCATCATAATCTTCCCTGAAATGATAAACCCTCAAACCCCAAGTTTTCAAGGTTGACTGTAAAATGATGAAAATTTGGCACATGGCTCATGATTTTTAAGGCCACCCACCTCCAGGTTGGTCCGGTCCCAGTCCGCCTGCTGTTCGGCCCCCCGAATTTCTCGAAGAATGCTGGAGCCACATTGCTCCTCGGTGAGCTCTGCAGATGCCTTGGCCCGAGAAAGGTTTCTGGTTGAGATCTGTTTGTTGGGTTTGCCATGGTTTGCAACCACCAAAAAGACGGCGGAAAGTTGGGAACCTGGAAAATATTAGAGGGAAATATGAGGGAAATGTACGGCAGAAACACTTGTCTATCTTTTTTGCCGCTATATTTGATGGGAGAACCCATGGTCTTCCAGTCTTCCATCATCATTTTTGGATCTCTCGGGCTGTGCCTGGTCTATTTTTCTCCAAAATGATGTGAACCTACTTGTCTAATGGAGGGATTTGACCTATCGAACCAATGAAATTTGTATTTCACCCCCAAAAAAAAAACACTGAAGTGCGAATTTGACCAAGAAATATCGGGATTGATTGAACCAAGAAATGTACGCATATACACCGATATCATATCTAACATATATATGATTATATATGCGTGTATGTGTGTATTTATCTATTTATTAATTAATTAATCATTTATTTATTCGTGGCATGCATTTAATCATTTATGTATTCATTCATTTATGTATGCGTATGCGGGGAAACAACCAGTCAACATAGAGTATCTTTGGGCATATCCAAACAAAATCCAGGATGGTGCGATTTCGACTCGAAAAGCGAGGTCTCACATGTCGCACGGTTGGGAGCACTTGCTTCGTTTGGTGGTCTTAACTCTTAACTTTCAAAACAAATCTAGTTCATAGAATAGTTGTGAATAGTTACTGTAGTCAAAGTCGGGCATTGTCATCCCAATTGGAATGGATATGATGGAGTGTTCGAAAAGTCTTGCATCACTGGCCAGCTTTGGAAACTCGGCCCACCCAAACACACAGTATCCAACAGTGTCCCAAATGCCAAAGGCAGTAGCAGCAAGGCCCAGGGTAGCTTCATCTTTTCACAGTGGGGCCTAGGCAGCTGGAAAATCCACTCCCAAGATTTGCTGGAAAATCCACTACGGTTCCGCACTAGACACATCCGTCATTCCACTAGATCCACTATTCACCATTGGGATGTCATCGGATATCTGCTATCTTCAAGCAATATGACCATGGCCCATGGCCCATGGCCCATGGCCCTAGCCCTTCCGCAGTTCTGCATCCCGAACCTGTGGGTTTCACAAGACAGTGATGGCTCTAGTTTGAGCCCTGAAACATTGCAGTGCGTGAGGATTTGATCGGTTCCCTGCCAAATGGAATGGTGTAGCGTTGCTAAGGTCGATGAAAATCCGTGGCTCCCAAAACCTTCAACCTTGACCCCCACTCAAATCTATTTCAGCATCACCTCCCTTGCTAAGTTTCAAAACCACGTGACCCCCAGGGAGTGGACCAACGTGATGCATAATGAAAATTAATGAAAGCGAGTCATTTCGTGCCATTTGCCTGCAGTCTCCCACAGCCAACATGGCTCTTTTGGTCACCTTTCGGTTTGGTGAACTTGCCCTACAGCTGACTAAACCCCATCAACTGTCAGGACAGCAGTCCGTGTCGAACCCCCTGACTGGGAACAGGGCTTCAAGCCCGCTCGCACTGGGTTTCCGACCAGTAGTTCGGGATGCACGCGGCATCGGAGTTTCTCAAGATGCTTGACCAGCTGGTGCAAACAAAACCAGAATCTCTGCTCGCTGAGTGTAGGCACGACAAGCTGCAGCCCCAGCTGGCAAGGCTGTTGAAGCTTAGAAAAGTCTTGGTGCTGAGATGCTCTGCGGGTAGAAAGAAGAACTTGGCTAACTTGCCCAAATCCACATGAACCAAGCTGCCTGCCATCATGCGAACAATCCTTGCAAACATTGAAGCATCTCAACAGCACCGCTGTTTGCCACAAGCCTCAGGAGCTGCAAGTGATTGCAAGGAACTCCCAAGGACCAAAAAATCCGCAGCCTGCGCGGCTGTTGGGGGGCACAGCCTGGCCAACGACATCCACTGTACACGATGCCCTAGCGGCGACTCCTACCCCTAAGACGAACGACTCACGGGCATGGAACCTCTGGGTCAATTGTTTTAGATAGTTTTGAATGTTTATTGAATGTTTTAAATCATGTTCAGTGTAGGGAGATCAATCTCCAGGGGGTCCATTTCTCCCGCTTTTATGGTGCAAATTCTTGCTGGCTTCAGTCGTGCTCGCAAGAGCGCCAACAGTTTCAGGATGTTAAATCTTACAGTCTTACAGGATCTTACAGGCAATAGGCCTGCTTTCTTCTGTGCACAGGTCTGGGGGAATACCCGACTCAATGCTATCTGCAAAGCTCTTCCTTCTAAGCGAACCAAGCGCAATACATGTCACAGTTGCTTTTGAAGAAGATCACCGAAAAATACTTTTTCTCAAACTGGCAGAAAGCAATGCTTTTAGATCCCGCAACCGCAGGAATGCTGGGGTTGGGGAGCCCTTTCGGTACACACAACGCGTCGAAACCACTAAGCCTAAATAAGCCTGAGCCTGCTACAGGCCACTCAGTTCATCATGCACTGTTGCTACCCTCCTCAAAAGGCGTGGCAGGTTTGCAGGCCCCAGCTCGGTGCATTCAACCCATTTAGCAGGTCAAACATGGCTCGAAAACACCCCCTGAGCGAAGGCAAAATCATCTATGAAGGGCTATGTTACGTTTATATTTTGGGGGGATGTCCAGCACGCCAGGAAGGATTGCCAAAACAAGCCATCCACGTTCCAATTTTCTAGAGACTTTCTTTCCAATGCAACTGTGAGGGATTTCGAGCAATGCGTTGCCATAGCTGCTACAGTAAACCTTCCAGTTTGGAGACCCCATCCATGCCGCCCTTTGGGAGTGCATTTCCACTTAGTAAGTGAGTATATGGCCATGACTGTAGGATATAATTAGGGATTGTATCTCAAGTCTTGGAGCTTATAACCGTGGTTAGCTACAAAAATCACCGCTACTGCACCCCCAAATAGGTTATATGTCTTGGCATATCCCATCATCCTCCGATAATCAAACATGGCAATGGAAAATTCCCTATAAATGGAGGTTCCTAGCTGGGAAAATCATCGATCTAAATTGCATATTTCTTCCAGCCACGTGTCATGACACCAGAGGGTAATCATCATTCATGCTGAATGCCACTATTAACTATTAACTACCATCATTTTAACTTAACCATTGAGGGTTACCCTCTGGTAAACTAACGTAAGTATGGAAAATCACCATTTTTAATGGGAAAATCCACTATAAATGGCCATGTTCCATAGCTATGTTAAATTACCAGATGGTAAAACATGGTTCAATCATTAAAAGGACACCAGTTTTGTTGGCTTCTCCGGTGATCACCTCCCGCCGGCCCCTTCCTGCAACAAGGGATGGGCGAAGAGCGTTGAGAGCTGCGGGGTGATCTGCTGGGCCGCGGCGATGACGTCCGCGGGGCTGTCACCCATTTTGGCGGCTAAGGGGTGCTGCGCCAATCCTGGGGTCATGGTGTGGGCCGATCCTGGTAAAATGGGGAAGTTGGGGAGCAAAAGCTATTAAAAATGCTACTTACATCCATAAGATGTATGATTTATGATGATTTTTTGGTTGGGTATTGAGATATCAAAAGGATTCACTATAGTCAATATACTATACTACGATGTTGCCGTTACCAGGCAAATTTCAAGTAGTTTCCAGGATCACCTGGTGGAATTGTGCCGTTATCATCTTGAGATCTGGCCTTCAAATTTGATCAACCCATTCTTTATCTGGTTCATCGTCTTTGAACTCACTTAGGGCTTGCTCATTATATCTCATTATATCTCATTATATCTCCTTTGTCTCTATAGCTCACTACATAGATAGCGCAAAGAGTCGATGCCAATCTGTCTCACCTGGGAGCATGTTTCGTTGTGCCATACAATGCTCAACTTGATCCCCACATATTCTCCGTCCCCGAAAAAAGGCGTGGCCAACCGCATCGCCCAAGCGGCTCAGCAACAGCTCCCGACGTCGCGTGGACAGCGCCAAGGGGTCTCCGCCAGGGCGGCAGGCGCCTGCGGTGCCGACACGGAGGGAACGGATGGGAGTTCAAAAATGGAGCACCTGCAACGATTATCATTTAATCAATGATGAATAATGATGGTCAATAATGGTTAAGAATACAACTAATGGTTGTAATGGTTGATATTGGTGGATAGTAATAATGAATATCAACTTGTTCATGTTCTTGGCATATATACATAATATTAGTAAGAACAACGACAAAAAATAATAACAACAAAGTAAGGATGATGATGATGATGATGACGACGACGACGACGATGATAATAATAACAACAATAAGAAGAAGAAGAAGAAGAAACAAAATACTAATAGTAGTAATCATGACTATGACTATGACCATGACTTTGACTATGACAAAATGGATACAACATGTTTCTTACTGCTCGAAGGATGGCAAGTCTCCATCCAAATCGCGCTGGAAGAGCGGCCGATGAGCGCGGCGCGCCAACAGGAGGCAGGCGTCCTGAAGCCGCAATGGGAATATGATGAAAAAAAATGTGATAAAAAATATGAGAATATATGTGTATATATATTTATTTATTTATTTATCTATTTGTTTATTTATATATGTATACGTATGTACTCAATGGGAATATAATATTGTGGGTCTAGGGATTCACTGGGATATAATCTGGAAGAAAAAACCTGGAGAATAGGAGGATATTTATGGGTCTACTGATAAATTAGAACGAGATTCCCATTTTTTTTATGAGAATCCCGAATTCATGGAGCAACCTCCGGAGAAGAAAAAATGTCAACCAACAAAGGTGTCTCGCAGCCACTGCTCACATCTTTAAAGGGATACTGAGCTTCGTGAAGCGATGGGGAGTCTCTGCCAACAAGGCCATCGTAAAGTCTGAGGAACCCCTTACGATGTGCCTTTGTCAAAACACGCAGTAAAGCTGATTCCAGCTCGAGATCGGCATCATGTCATGAGTAGATAACCAAAGTGAGGCCAACAGGTATCGGTATGGAGCTTGCATGAATCATTGCATGAAGCAAACATGAGGGTTTGACAAGTGGGCATCTCCGGAAATGAGAGGGATCCAAAAATAGGATGACCACCAAAACCGGCGACATGTTCTGACATGCGCATCGATTTTGGCCCCCAAACTCTAGGATACACTCAAATGCCTCCAGACCAATCGTTTCAGGAATGTTCAGGGTTTTTTATGGGGGTAGATGTGGCAGATGTGGCACTTTGAAGATCAACCTGCGTAGCAACTTGTAAGCAAGCATAAAATCTACTCAGTTACAAGTTATAACTGGAACTACCTAAGTAGATAGGGACCTTGGACTGGAGTGATTAATCAGTTGCTTCAGTTATTGTTGCACACACAATGTTTGTTGCGTAAACTGCCACTGTTTGTTGATGCGTCTTCCCTACCTCTCACGCCAACTCTAGCTGAATCATCATCTCAAATGGGATAACTTCCCAGTTTCGCCATATTTCACCATATTTCCCATGTTTCACCAGTTTCGCCATATTTCACCATATTTCCCATGTTTCACCAGTTTCACCATATTTCACCATATTTCCCATGTTTCACCAGTTTCACCAACCATATTTCACCACTTTTCCAAGGTCAGCTTCGGTCAGCTTCCCCGCCTCTGGCGACAGCAGCGGCACCTCAATGGCGACCGCCTTGCCCGGCAGCGGCGCGTCGTAGCGGGGCTCCCGCGAGGTCAGTAGCAGCCGCATGGGCGAATCGGCCAAGGCCTGGCAGCTCCGAACTGTGCCCCGGGGTCCACAAAACAGGTAGGTTATAAAATCTGTGTTATATATCCGAACATATCCAATCTGTGTTATAAAAATACAGGTAGGTTGGGTCGGGTTGGATCTGATTAGATTGGATTTGGACTTGGAGACACATAAATGCGTGAAGCTGTGCTTATATGTTTTATAGTTTGTCTGCGTATGCCGCGTGACAGAGAGAGAGAGAGGAACAAATAGATAGAGAAAGAAGCATATAAAGAAAGAGATAAATATATAGACTAGAATCAGAATTAGAATCAGAATCAGAATTAGAATCAGAATTAGAATTAGAATCGAATGGAATGGAAAAATCAAGAAAAGAAAAGAACCGTCCTAGTGCCAGATCTGAGCCTCGCCCAGGAAGCTCCAAAGCTCCGCCGCCTGGGGCTGTTGGGGGAGCGTAGATCAATGGATTGGTTGATTGGTTTTGTTGGGAAAATCATCACCGGAAAGCCGGAAACCATCGGTTTTTCCATTACATCGATCCATTGAGAGGAAGCCTCTGGCATTTCAAGGTGGTCGCAATCATCCAGAAACACCTATCCCACAAATTAGCATCGACCTTGCCATGAGTTGGGGGTGGGAACCTTGCTTTCCACCAAAAACTCGCTATGTTCCGGCTCAAACTGTTAAATAACCAGAGGGTAAATACTATTTAAAATATATTGAACCTCCATATAGTGGGGGATTTTGCATTGCCACGGTTGATTACCGGAGGGAAACTACACATACTAAGCCCAGCCACCCCGCCACCCCGCCACCCCGCTACCTGGCTGTCTCGGGCTGCCAGGCTCTCCTCAACTCCATCCAAGGCGAGCAGTGTAGCAGGGCCTGTCTTGGAGCAGTCTCCATGAATCGACACCACCAAAATACACAGAAACGACGAAAGTTTCACGAAGACATCAACCAAATTCGTGAAACAAAGGTAAATAAAACCGTCATAATAAACCTAAGACACTAAGTGAAATAAACCTTAATGATGGCAAAAAGACTCCAAGAACCCAAAAAAAACATCTTTCATCAAAAACCCTCATGTATCTTCCGCCTGCCCGTGGCATTTCCAGCACCGCAGCTTTCAGCCGCTCCAGCACCGCCGCAGGGCCCAGGCCAGACCTGGAAAATCTAGTGGGATCCAGTGGGATTTTCGCATGGGTTTCTGCCATTGCAATTTTTGAATATGGTTTGACATAATGTCTTGATTCCGGCAGATCTGCGGTACATATCAAAATTAGCAGCCCCTGAAGATAGGACTTTTCATCTTGAAATGAAAAGAAATAATTGAGCAAAAAAAATAGCAAGATCTGAGACATTACCTGCACCTCAGGACGATCAAGCTAGTAACCAACATAGGTATTCAGAAAATGCAACGCTTGTGGATGATTGTCCTTGTGAAACCATAGATCTATCTATCCATCCATCCGTCCGTCCGTCCGTCTATCTATCTACCTATAGATATATCATATATACATATATCATATATACATGTATATATATAATATATATACATATATATACTACATACATATATGTTCAGCGGAGGGATACCTGCAGAGCTGAGCCCATGCGCTACCCCAGCCCATAGCCAAGCCAGTGCCACCAGGTTACACCCTCAGCAGTTGTACCCCGCATTGCGTGGCACGTCCACCAGCCGCCGCCTCAGCCTTAGCGGAAAAGCGTAGAAATTTGGTGAGCAAATTCAATTTTCAAACCCTCCGGAAAGCCTCCGTTTATAATGTGTTTTCCTACATTTGAGTATGCTTTACCATGCTTTACCTATGATTTTCCCATTAGACTCCACTGTCAGTGTTATTTTCCTCACTATTCAGTCACTATTCGTCGTATTATGTCGTCATCACCGGGTTCCCATTGGTTGTGGTTCCCACATGACTCAGGGCCTCCGAAGGCGAGCCGTTGTCGCCGAAGCGGCAGCAATGGGAGAAGAGCCTTTCGGACGTTTCGCGGCCGAGCATTGCTGGGATATTGCTGGGATGCTGGAAGTGCGGATGGATTGGCTGCTGAAAAAGGATCATCAACCACGAAATATCCCGATCATGAGGCGATTTTTGGATGTGGATGCTGCCAACCCCCAGGATGCAAGAGGTTGTTCCGCATCGGCTTCGGCGATGTCAAACCCGAACAGCGTACGTTCAGAGAATGTTTGGATGTTTCCAACCTTGCATTTTGGTGGGTGAAATCCTCATTAACCATAGTAAATCCATGCCATCCTCGCAAATCCTTGTCAAATCCACCCAAAAAAAAACTGAAAGATCAACAACCATAGGATCAATGGCCTTATATGGTACAGTACCTCCATTTTAGGATCCTGGAATTCCCATTGATAGGAAAGCTTTTTAGATTAACGCATAACTGATCTGATCTGACTGATCTTTCGATTCCATTGGAGCGTTCGGAGAACGCCCGCACCTGTCCCCAGGCATGGCATAGAAGCGAATAAACTCCGAGAGCAAGGCCGATTTGCCGATGCCAGCCTGCCGATGATTTGGGAATGTAATTACCCTCTGGTAAACTAACATAACTATGGAAAATCACCATTTTTAATGGGAAAATCCACTTTAAATCACCATTTTCAATAGCTATGTTAAATTACCAGAGGGTACCATTTGGTAATTATTGGTACTCTCTGGTAAACTAACTTAGCTATGGAAAATTAACAACTTCAATAGGTGAATCAGCTATAAATGGACCATGTTCCATAGCTATTATTGGCAATGTACCAGGCTAATATATTATTGGGACAATATGGATTATACATTGGGATAAATTATTGGGATATCAATGTACCAAGCCATATGGATTGTTGCAAAGAATAAGGAGTCGGTTTGGGATGGATTTGACCGTTGTCGACCTATTCGTTGCAACGAAAACGAGGGCTACCCCTTCTAAAAATATGATCCACCACTGCTTGGGAGTGAAAAAATATAGTTATTAATTACTTTGATCCTTTTATTGGTTACCCAGTTTATTAATGTTTATTGTACTCAGTGTACTCATTTTATGCCCAATTTTAGATGCTTTGACCCAGTTTTCAATGGGTTGAGATGTGTCTTGGACTCCCACCTTGCCATGGAGCCAGATCACACGACGCTGGCGGAAGGCACTTGCCACAGCGGCGATGGTGGCCCCTGCCATGGTGCGGTGCTGATCTGGGACTTGGAGGAGCTACCTTCCTGGGATTATCCCATGTATAAAAGGATTAGAACCAGAACTGTAACGTTTAAGTACGGTTGCTAACCACATGGAAAAAACGAATAGCACTTACTTATAAGTACGCTTACGCACTTACTTATAAGTACGGCTACTAAACACCTACAGTAGAAAAAACGAATAAAGCTTATATATTTGTATGGTTGTAACCACCTAAAGAGCTGGGGTCTATCCTCTAAGTATGGGCTACCAGGCTACCACTCTTCTGCCACTGTTATTTCTCTGAAATGCAATAGATAGACCCCGAAGAGACCCGAAAAGTCCATCCCTATCAGCCCTGTAAGACGGCAGTGCCCCGGCCCTGTGGCCTCTGCCAACAAAGTCCTCCACGGGGGGAGGGAGATGGCCGAAGAGCCTCAGCTGATGACTGTCTTTCCCCCCGCCCCAATAGCCATTATTGTTCCTTAACTCTCTCACAACGGTTTTTTTTTTAAGAACCAGTAAAAAAATGATAATAATTGTATACACGCATATACCGTTTATATATATATAATAGTAGTAAGAATGATAGTATAGTAAATAGCAATCGTGGTCTCCCTCAAGGACCGAGGCTGCGGCGACTCTGATGTTCGCATCAGCGGCATCAGCGGTGCCAGGCGGTCCGTGGAACTTGAAACGCTGCTGGGCACAAAACAGAAGTGGTCCGCCTGGCACAACGCGGTCGCATGCGAAGACGGCCAGATACCCAACATGTAATTTAACATACTTTGGAAAAACAACATAGTTTTATTGGTCATAATCCATAGCATGTTTTATAGGTCATAATTTATAGCTTGGAAAATTAAATGGTCCATTTTCCATAGCATGTCTATGTTAAATTGCCGGGTTGCATTTTTTTGTGTGCGGACCTTCCATCTGTAGGTGTCCCCCATTCTATCATCTTACCGTCAAGTATATTCCCATCAATGTGTTGGTTGAATTCCCATACTATGAATGAGGAAACCAATGGTTTTAGATTTTTTGCCAACCTTTTCTACAACATCTCACAGTGGCTCAGTTGTTGGCAGTTGAATCCCTACTATTCAACTGTCTTCCCGTTATACTTCCAATATAGTACCATTATTGTTGCTTCAATTCAAGAGTCATTACTACTTAAATCTGACCATTTTCAATATTGATGGTTTCTCTCTCTCTCTCTCTCCATCGCCTTCAATATTGATGATTGACCTGCAAATTGTTCATATGCCGATCAATTTTCGAGTATTACTTACCCTCTGGTAATTCGTAGTTCTGGAAGCCATGAATATATATATATATATAGCCCATTTAGTTTCATAATTTGCCTGAAAATGGTGATGTTCCAATGTTTGATTGTTGAATCCCTAGTCTTGCCGGTTGAATCACCTTTTTTCCTGGGTTAAATCCGTATGATTTCACCCTTCCAATGGTTCCCAAGGACCCGGAAAACCACGGCAGTCAGAAACCTCCGAGCGTAGCCCGGGTTGTGGGGACAGCCGCACGGCACGCTGGGCGGCCTGGAATGCACCCTTGGCCACCTCGGGGGGACAAGTCGACCATCCCCAAGGACTTCGCATTGGGATTCCAACCCCCCAAAATCTCCAGTGATGCTGGGTTTATGGCATTGGGTTTGCCACATTAGATGAACATGAGATATCAAATACGCGAGAATCCCGGAAGGTAGAAGTTGCAGTCTGCTTCAGTCGCCCGCGGAAGAGAAATGGCGCGCACTGTTTCATGGATCCACATCCTGCTTGCTCAAATTTGAGCTCCAAGACTTTCAACTTTTAACGTCAAAAATCCACATCAAGTGGCGACTTTGAACTCCTTATTCTCAACCTTTTCTCATCTTTTCACAGCTTCTCAGATCTGTTTTTCCCCAGCTTTCCGGCCGAAATCTCCCCGCGCCCAAGGGACGCTACTGGCAAGGCCCCCTTGCGCCACGGCGGCGGCAAGGGAACGCAGGAAGACGCGGAGGAATTCCCGGGCAGCCGCGTCAAAGACTTCACCTGGGACCAGCATGGACCAGCTGGGGATCATGCAGTCAGGTCTATACAGAGTATATACTATATTGGATATAGAACTAAAAAAATAAACAAATGCATGGACACTTCTTATCTAAATTTCTGACTTTCACCATTTTCACCATTTTCACCATTCATAGTGAATTAGCCACTATGATCCACCAGTACCTATGATCCAGTCATCAACGAGACATCCACGAGTCATCACGTCGCCTGCGCAGCCCACCGCACAGCTGGCCCCGCTCTGCACGAAGCGATGCGCCAAGGGCTCGGAATGGCAGGCGTCCACCAGCACCACGTCGAACAAGGCGGCTCCTGAGCCTCGGTCGTGGGAGCAATGGGAATCCATGGCTTCAACGTATCATAACCAGCAAGAAATCTATGTTCTATAAGGTGTATATTCATATATATATATATGTCTGTGTGTGTCTATCTATGGTATGGAGGTTATATAATGTTATATATATCCATATGTTCTATATGTTATTGATCTGACGGTTTGTAAGTGATATGTGGTATAACTTATGTTCTATAAGTTGTCTATCTATGGTATATAAGTTATATTTTATCCGCAACTGGCAACCAAACATGTTTTACACAAAATGAGTAGCAACCTAACCATAAATGTGCGTATAGTCATACTCACACATTATAGCCATGAAGTGTAACTGACCATAAAATGGTGTAAGTTATACAATATATCCATAAATAGTATATAGTTGGTTTCGAAATCTCCATGGGTCTTCTTATTGCTGCTTCATGTTGCATTGCTGTTGCTTATTGACTCTTGTTGTGGTTGGATGTCTCCCAAAATGGTGGTACCCCCAAATCATCACAAATTAGACCACCTTAGTATGGAAACCTATGGTTTTAGTGATCCCCCATGGCAACACCCGGGGTTCATGGCCAAGTGCCGCTGGGCCACCATGGTTTCCACCCGCAGCCACCTCCGGCCCGTTCAGGGCCAACAAGTCGTCCAAGTCGTGGATGCCCAAGACGTGGGCGTGGCCTCAAAACCCATGGAAACTGGTGGTCTTCTGTATGGAAACCCATGGGTTTCTGATGGAAAATCCAGGAAACCCAGGAAACCATGGATTTTGGGAGTTTTTGTTCTGCTGTTCAATCATAAAGCTTGAAGCTTGTGATTATTCACTTTAAACTTTAAACCAAGTCTGGTTTCGGACGTGTTTCTCTTCCAGTACCACAAAACTTTCACTCCAAGTATGTGAGCGGATCTCTCAGAATATTTTAGAAACAGGCTGGAGTCACGGTCTCAACTCTTTGATGCAATAGACCCCGTGAGCCTTCTTTTTGACTGAAGTTGTTACAAAATATAGCTGGGCCCGTGGATTCCTATTTCCGGAACTAGGATTTGCAACTCTTGGACAGCGTTTCCGTTGTCATTGGATCCATTTTGTCAAAGAAACCTTTTCGAACTTATGTCCTGAGATTTCTGCTTCCAAACTTGCCGGTTCGGCTGTTCGCTTGGAGGCTTTTGGCAGAATTATGGTTACAAGACCGTGTTGTGGACTATCTTGATCCAAGCTAGCTTGTGTGATGTGTCCACTAGGGCTTGGAAACCTGATTGGAATGTGATTTTGGCGTGAATTTCTGGAGGAGTGAGTATTGCAAGATTTCAGAAGCGTGTGTGTTTTTGTAGAGGCGATGGATGTTTACCATCCACCTCTGGGATAATGTGGCAGGTTCCTCTGAATGGTTTCCCTTATTTGACATGGAACCCCACAGAAATGGGTACAGTATGGAGAAACAATTTTGATATGGCCAGCGATAGATAGGTCTATGCTCTATAAGTATCTGAATGTCACGGGCATATCAGCATTCGAGACGAGCTGAGTACAGCAGTGCTTCTCGAAGCTTCTTTGGTGCATGGCTGCTGCTTGCAGCATAAGGGGTCCTCAAAAGGTGGAAAAGTGAAGAAAAAACAAAACATTGTTGCCGCACAAGTTCCAGGCTTTCAACATGTTTCCAAAGATTTTTAGAGACGTCTGATCTTACAGCATGGGGCCTTTATAAATTTGGTTTCTGGATTGGTTTTGCCACGTTCCCCAACGAAACCATCCTGCCACCGTGGAACCTACGGCGTCTTCCAGCAGCAAAGAGGGCTGCGCCAGAGCAGAAACGGCACAATGCGCCGCTAGCACTAAAACACGAGGACCAGGACAGCGTTCGGTCCTGCCAGGGATGAGGTGAGGCCAACCCTGAACATCCAAAACATGAAAATGAAGTAGGAAAGACCCGAAGCATTTCTGCCCAGCACCGCTGGGAGAGTCATTTTGCAGTGATCTTTTTGGTGAGGCCGCTCGCCTCCAGACTTCTGCAAGGGTTTCAGTCGTCGCAGTGCGAACCTGCAAACATGAGAACGCATCGTCAGAGCAGCAAGAGGCAATGCGTTGGCTGGCCACCTGATAGCCAGCTACTCCCATCCTCAGAAACTCACCTCAACCAAGGTGACTAGCCGTCAAATGTCATCCTTCATGTAAGACTCTCAGGCTCAGAAAATAGACTAAGAAAATCCAGCCCCACCAGCCCCAAGATTTCCTAAGAAAGCCCCCCGTGGCCCCCCCGTGGCCCCCCCGTGGCCCTTGGGCTTTACCGCCCGCGCACCGTGAGCTTCACCCCAGGGATGGCCGCCAGCGCATCGATCTCCGCCCGGACGTCCAGCGACGCTAGGTCCAGTGGCGAGGCGTAGAGGTAGTCCAGCTGCAAACTGCGGCCCTCCAACGGTTTCCTGCTGCTCTTGGGAAATGAGGGACTCATTCTGTGACTTTTGCCACAAATAACCGATAAATATATATGAATAACAAGAATAATACTCATAACAATAGTAACAATAATCATCATCGTCGTCCTCATCATCATCATCGTCGTCGTCGTCGTCGTTATTATTATTATTGGTATTATTAATCTTAATTATTAATATCATCACATTTGTGATGATGATGACGATGACGATGACGATGACGATGACGATGACGATGACGATGATGATGATGATGATGATGATGATGGTGATGATGCTGATGATGATGATGATGACGACGATGATGATGGCGGCGATGATGATGAGGATGATAGTATATATTAATAGTATATGTTATTACGGCCAGGCGCTGTGTATTACCCGGAAGGTTCAAATGGCATTTAAACATGTTTAAATCATTATCCTTCAACATGCTCAAATACCTGCGCAGGGCCAGTGTTTTGAGATTTCCCAGACGACGAACCCTAAACCCTAAAACCCTAAACCATCCTAAACCCTAAAACCCTAAACCCCAAAACCCCAAACCCTAAAACCCTAAACCCAAAAACCTAGGCTCTGAGAACTTTGAATCCTAAACTGGGAAACACTGCGTATACGCCGTATACGCAGTATTTTCTGCAATCTCTCCTATCATATTTTCGACAGCACAACATTCTCAATGTTCATGTCTGAGCAACACACGGCGTCTGTGGGTATTAATAGTATATATTAATAGTATATATTAATAGTATATATTAATAGTATATATTAATAGTATATATTAATAGTATATATTATCTATAGGAGTCACTCTGAAGACTCACCTTCCAAGAGCTAGAGGTCCCTTCTTTGGTTCCGATCAGATCTTTTTGCATTCTGAATATGGTGACAAATGGGAGGTCGGATCCAGCTGCAGGCATAGGAAAATCGATGTCAGTGTCTGTGAGAATAAATAGGAAGTCCAATCCCCAAAGAGGGATCTAACCAACCAGAAATTCAGATACCGTATGAACCACAAAAATGGGAACTTCTTGTTGATTATATTCTCCCAACACGCCAAAACCCACAAAGCTGATGTGTCTGATTCCTTCAACTGCTGCTTTCTTTTGGGACCCACATGGGAGTATAAAACCAAGCCCTGGCTGGGGCCAAGGGGCTTCGGCTCATCATCTTCCAGCTTCATGACTGAAGTGCGCGGGGAGCCAGGCCTCAGTGATGAATGACGTGGGCTTGGGTCAAGATTAATCCCATCCCCCCAAATGTAAACACTCCCTAAAATGTCCCAAATGGTCCCCAATTATGTGGAAATGCCCTACTAAACCATGGTTTCTGGGAATTTCATATTAGAATCCAAATACACATTCCCATATCATCCCATATGCAAAGTCTATGGCTCCAAGCGCCTCAAACCCCCACCCACATAGGCCCATAGTGAACGTTCATGTCAACCCCTGATGCTGGATGTAACTGTAACTGGGCTCCAAATCGCCCCTGCTTCAGGAGGGATATTAAATTATTAAGCATCCCCAGGTCCTTAGCTCCTCCAGTTTCTATCTCCCTCTGGCGAAAACGCAGGGGTGGAGTTGGCCTACTGTTTGCCATCATTGACCTATATTGTTTGCGAGAAACCTTAGAGATGATTAAAAAAAGGCCTGGGACACCTCCCCAACAGCCAGGAAGCTGCTATGAACTATGAAACAAACCGAGGTTTACCCAAGAAATCCACTTCAGAAACATCCGGTTGCAGGTGTAGCGACTGTGCACGTTGCAGGTGTTGCCGCCAGTCCAATAGCCAAGTTGGCAGGTCATCTAAGAGGTCACCTTACATGGAGCCATGGTGTTGTCGATGATGTTTATCCAATTATATATGGCCCAGGCATTTGCCGTATATATATATAATTATACATATATATTATGAATTTTCAAAGTAGGTGTGAATTTGGATGCTTGGAACGGGGTACGACTGGAGGGTACGGTTTTGAGGTCATGGTGCGGTACGATGGTACGGTTTTGGGGTCATGGTACGGTGCAGTGGTACGGTTCAGTGGTACGGTTTTGGGGTCATGGCACCATATAATGATAAGATATGATTATGATAAGCTTTTTAATACATAGTGCGATATGAGGGTACTGCATTGGGGTGGTTCAGTGTTATCTGGTACAGTACGGTGGCATGGTGCGATTGAATGTTGGTATGGTAAATTGGTGCGATACAGTGGTGCAGTGAGTCGTTTGTGTTGCGGGATGAGATGCTGGTGCGGTACGGTGTTTTTGCGATGTGTTGGTAAGGCACGCGGGTGAGATAAGATGCTGGTACGCTATGGTGATGTAGCATGATGTGGCATGTTGGTGCGACAAGATGTTGGTAGGGAATTCTGCGGTGCACTGTAATGGCGTGGTGAGATGTTGATACCTTGTGGAAGATAAACATCCCAAAGCAAAAACCGGTCAAAACTGGTGCCCAAAACAATGTAAAGGAGAGAGTGAGTTGGGGTAAAGTAATATTGATGTCTTATGGTGTCTTAAATAAGGAGTTGCCATTGAGGGGGATTTAAGATTTATAATGGTTTGTCTTTAAGTCTATGTCAATGTAGGTTTTAAAGATCGGAAATTGTTTTGCGCACATTGGATTGCGGGCACACAGTAAAACGCATAGTCTTTTTGAAAGAGCATGTCTCAGAATAAGAGGGCGTCACACTTGCCCGCATATTGGTGTGCAACTCCAACAAACAGTTCAGTGTCCTGTATCCTCTTAAGAAAGTGCAGTATTTGACCTTTGAGAGAAGTAAGATTATTGTATAATTCTTGGTTTTGATAAGGGAGTTCAACTGATCATTCCTTTTTGACTATTCAAATTTACATGTCAATAGATATGCCCAAATAAGATAGGCATACTCAGTACTCAGTATTCCAGAAACAGCGCTCAGTGATCATTTCTCTCAAAGAAGAAGTCTTCCTTCAAGAAAATAATAGTTCCGTTTCCACATGCGCAATGTTCTTTCAAAAGGGTACGCAATTGTTTATAAACAAGGCCGGTTCTTTTCAAAGGCAAATACCTGAGGAAATATGTAGATTTCTGTGCAATAATGCAAGTTTATATAAAAGATGTCCATTCAAAACATGCATCTTTCTTCAATGGGTGCAATATTCCTCCAGGGCAGTGCTTTATGTACAAAACACATCGGCCAAATATGAAACATGCATTGAACCAATGCAATGTTAAATTCAAGTATTTGAAGTATTCAGCAGATTTTCTGTTTGTATTTGAAGTATTCCTTTTAAAGATACAGCTGTCAGTTAAAGATGTGCAGTGTCCGAGACACACAGTTTTCATTTGAGAGATGCGGTGTTTTTCAAAGAAATAGTACTTGTTCAAAATATCAAGTATTCCCTGCAAAAACATGGAATTCCTTTTAACATATAATATGCTATTCTGTCGACAACTGCAATGCTTAAAAAAAAAATATTTGACAAATCCTTTTGAAAGGGTAGCGCTCTTCAAGTTCGGTGTTCTTTTCAAGCAGTGAAATTGCGCTACATACCATTACAGTATTCCTGTCAGAAAGTGGTGTGTTTCTGACAATGCAAACTCGTAAACAACCAGCATTCCTTTCAAAAAAGTACAAATAGTTATTGCAGCTGAAAAGTGTTTTTTGCTTTTAAGACTAGTTTTCCGGAAGTCTTGGCTCCCCTGCAGAAGACAAAGAATATCAAACAAATAATACGAAAGGTTTTGCAGGGGTCTTGATTGAGTCTTGGTTTCAACAAGACATTAAATATACCAGAAACATCCAGAAACACGCTGTTCCAGAAATCCTGAGATTGGGGTTCTAGGAGATCAAGACAAAAAACAACGTTCCCAAAAGTCTCGAGGTTTGCTGAAAAAAGTCAAAACGAAAGCGCGTTCCAAGAAGTCTTGCTATTGGGAGGGGTAGGGGGTGGCCAGCAGAGAGTCTCAGAATATTGTTTTTTGTTTCAAAGTGTTTCTCCTATTCGATCGTTGTGGGTGGCCAGAAGAGTTGTCTCAGAATATTGCTTTTCTTCAATGTGGTTTTGGACGCACATATTCATGAACAAATGTAGTTTGAATGGGTTTTAAGCTGTGATTTAATAAGATTCATAAATACAGCCTTTGATGTTTTTTTACGCATGTTGCACGTGAAAATTCAAAATCCAATGTGTGGCCTTTCTAGAGATTTGCAACCGCAATTCCATAAATCATAATCGCATATATTCGCTCTATAACTGACCTGGATCTGTACCCAAAAATTGTACCACCGAAACTGCGCTAGGTCGGACACAAGTCACTTGAGTGCATCAGACAAATTCACGTGATGTGTAGTTTCAATACTTTCAATCCATCTCAGCACAATATTCGCAAAGTTTGGATCGGAGTTGAACAACTCCAAACTATACCACTGTACGCCTGTACGTACGGTACCCCAAAACCGTACCAACGTACCTTACCACTCTACCGTACCGCGCCCCAAAACCATACCCCAAAACAGTCTCACTTGCTGTATGTATATACCAGAAAAAGGAGGTATTTTTTCGTAGGGTCGGGAGCGTACCAATACTAAGCACCCTACCGTACCACTGTACCGTACCCTAAAACCGTACCCCCAAAACCGTACCCCGAAAACCGTACCCCAAAACCGTACCCCAGAACCGTACCCCGTACCCGTACCCAAATAAGGACATATATCGATATACCTTTTTGAGTGTACCAATACTAACTTAGTATTGGTACACTCAAAAAGGTATATCGATATATGTCCTTATTTGGGTACGGTTTTCGGGGTACGGTTCTGGGGTACGGTTTTGGGGTACGGTTTTCGGGGTACGGTTTTGGGGTACACTCGCACAGTCCCGACCCTACGAAAAGATACCAACTTATAAGTTTTGAGGTACGGCTTTGGGATACGGTGTGGGACAGTGGTAAGGTTTTGTAGTATGGTGTGGTACGGTTGTATGGTTTTGGGGTGCGGTTTGGTACAATGGTAGGGTACGGTGGTACGGTTTTGGGGTATAGTCGGGTCGAATTGTTGGGGACAGATATAGCGCAGTTAGCATGGAGCGGCATTGATTCTTAGGATGTTTTTTGAGCATTCAACACCTTTACTATGGTTGTGAACTCTGGGAATATGCAGGTACCATCAGGTACCCAAACGCAAAATAACACAAAGCCTCGTATGTATTAACATGTTTCAGACGCAAGGCAAATGCCTGGCGCAGAAATTCACCCAATAAAGCAATAAGGACACGAACACACACACACATACAACTATACATACATACATACATATATATATATATGGAATAGCAACACATGAAACGCAAGTGAAGCACATCAAATGCAAAGCGGGGGGCAAATTGAGCAATCTAGGGATTGTGTGAGAACACACATGGATAACAGCTCAGCCAAATGAAGTGTGCAGATGTGTGCAGCACAAAAGGGTAGACTGTTAATATTGAGACACACTCTAGATGCAAGGCACTGTATGTTATTTTTTGTTGGACACATATATTAAATACATGATATTAGTATATATTAGCGCATTTCTTCATGCAGGGACGCATGTATGTGATACTGGTGCTATATAGGCATCTAGACTGTACACAAAAAGCATTCAGACTTCAAGTTCATGAGGGGAGATTGCGTCGACAAGCGGACTGAACCGTCTAAGGCTGTGTGTGTGAGGGGTTTTGACACTGTAGTATGTGATGGTAGTGGTAGTGGTTCTGGTGGTTCACCACTTGAAATAAAATATTTTCGATAGGTCACGGGGTCATGATCAAAGATGACTTCTGGATTGGTAAATGTTGGGCCCCATGCCGTTTCGTGTAACTTATGCGGTTGTGCACACTACTACTTTTTCTAGTATACAGTATGCCCAAGGTGGAAATCAATAGCCCTAAACAAATGCCTCTGATCCCTCAAACAAAATGAGTTTATCATGTTTATCTTTGTGTTTGTTTTCTTTTGGTTTTCAGAGCTAAAGCAGATTGGATCCGCGACCACAAACGCAAAGGGGCCACATCAGTTGTTTTTGTTTGTTTGTGTTTGTTTGTGATTTGTTTTGCATTTCTACTTGAGTTTGCTTGCGCGTTTGTTTGTTTTTTCTACTTTTGTGTAGTTGTGAATATTACTAACATACAAGATACAAAACTTGTCACAAACCACGACCTGGTTTGTATGGCCCACGGGTGAGCTGCGTCCATGTACGTCTGGCTACAGTAACAAATCCATGTCCTGTATGGCCCCCTCTATGGTCCTTGCTTGCGTGTGAGTGCATTTGCTGCATTTTTCTTGTCGAATCGTGGGTCTGCTTGTGAGTTCGTTGATGTGGTCACTTGTGTGTCATTTAACCAAAAATTGCAATTCCAAACTCCGAATATAATATGTGAAACTAAATACTCGAGAATTTCCAATATGCAAGAGCTACACAACAAATTGCTAATCGCACAGACTGTTTAGAATCCTGGTGCCATGCATGCCGTCCCATGCATGCCACTTACTGTGCTTTTGATGGCGTGCGTCCGTTTTTGTCAAGTTCAATTCGTTTCATTTCATTTGATTTCGTTTAGTGTTCTTTTATTTCCTTTCATGTCATTTATTTGTTTCGCATACTTCCCAACAATGAATGGAAGAAATCCTGCACCAGCTTGGATGGTGGAAACCCTGTAAATAATGGGATAAAACAGCTATCAACTGGTGCAGGATGTTTTTTCCATCCACTGCAATCAACTTGATCAAACTTGTAGAGTATTATATTTGGTTTTCAGTGTCATCCATGTTCTCCATTTTCCTGTTGTTGTTCTGGTGTTTTGTTGTTGCCTTGGTAGTTTTATGTTCGATTGGTGCTTGGGGTTAGTTTTTATTGGGTTAGTTTTTATTGGGTTAGTTTTTTGTTTGTGTACGTTGGTGTTGGGTTTGCTTTTTGGTTGTGTTGTTTGTCTAAAGCATGCGGTTTTCTTGTCATTGTTTGTGTGAGTTTCTACACAGGCCTCAAAGGCCATCAGGGTAGCCCATTAAGCAAAACCAATGAATCTAAATAAGATAAGATACATGATATTCTGGCGAGATGTGCTGTCGTATCCTGAAATCTTCACAACATAAAAATGATTTACAGCGCTTATTTTGTGAGTCTACTATAGTTTCCTCCGCCGGACACAGATTCGGTTTTTAGGGTTTAGAGCAAGAACTACTATTTCAGTAATGACAATAAGGTGTCTATGGTTGATGATCATGTTCAGTTAAAAGTCTACAATCATCAAATTCTGCCGTGGTATACACCACCTTTTACATCTCAATGAGTACCACCTTACCATCATTTAACCGTACCACTTCCATCGTACCACCGTACCGCACCAACATACCATCGCACCAACACACTGCACCACCGTACCGTACCACCGCACCACTGTACCGTACCACCGTACCGTACCACCGTACCGTACCACATATCATCGTACCAACACACCGCACCACCGTACCGTACCACCGTACCGTACCATCATATCATCGTACCAACACACTGCACCACCGTACCGTACCACCTCACCACCGTACCGTACCACCGTACCGTACCATATATCATCGTACCAACACACCGTACGTACCTAACATTGCCTATACAGCCTGAAAGTCGTTTACACCTACTTTGGCAATTCATAATATATATATATATATACGAACATAGATTAGGGCAACATATCTATGACATGAACATGTTTTATAAATTTCCAGGGCATGGGCTCTGCATAGATGTTCATCCATTTCGCTTAGAAGACTCTCTAATGTTGACAACGTTTCTGATGAGTTTACTTGTTCGATCTTTTTCTCGGAGACCAGAGGGACCTGGAGGATTTTTGCCCAGCTGCCGCCAACCAGCAGGATCCCCTGCTGTCTATAAAAATCAAACAAGAATAATTGAAATAACAGTAGTACAGCAGGACAATCATAATAATCGTAGCAATACTAATAATGAACACAAATGATAGTGATGACTGATGATAAAGCCATTTTGGGATAGTTACCCCAATCCTATTAACATCTATTAACGATGATTATATAGCCACGGTTCATCAACGGTCGCAGCCACGGAGCCGGATCTGGAGCACACAGCCAGGTCCTCATCCCGTAGCACGGTGTGTAGGTCCAGAACCTTCAGCGGGGTCCGGGGGGTATGAAACGTCCGGGTTTAACGGGGTATATGAAACGCGGCAACAATGGTCAGTGGATGAGGGTATACCATGGTATACCCTCCAAATCGCCATGGAAAGGGGGGGATGATGATATTTAAATGGTGGATTTAGGTCCCCTGTTTGCAGAGAAACCCAGGTAACGATGCAACGAGGTGAAATGTGCTATACACATCCTGGTTTGTGGCAAAGGGTGATGCAGTATGCAGAGACTTCCACCAAACTACTTGACTGCAAACCATCCCCCAAACCCAAGTACGTCATGCCTTTCAGCTATGGGACCGTACAGATACGGTAATCATCTACAAGCAGGGGGCCATGGTTAATCTTGCAGAGCCAGTAAGGGCTTGATTTTGTAGCTGGGCATTGTATCCACCCATTGAATCCAGATGGAAAAAGGATAAGTCAACAACCCGCGAACCAATAATTCATAAAGGTTTACCTATCATGTGTTGAACCGAATGTCCCAGCATTCCTTAAAGCCCCAGGCTATTTTTCAGAGCCACATGAGCGTGGCCAGCAGTGCAGGTTGGACAGCGGAGACCCGCGCGGAAGCTGATCCTGGCTCTCAGATGATGAGGTTCGACCATCAACGGCTTGACTTGGCGATTCAACTCACAACTTAAATAGGCGCTTCACCAGCCATGGAGGATGTTTAGTTATCATTGGGGAAAGCCATGGGGTGCCACAATTTTGGGTCAGAGTAATCCTAGAAGTTGGGAGTTTGAGCATACTGGGTAGCAACTCGTGAAATAATTCGGCGAGAAAAGGACTGAAACTACCAAGTTGCATAGCATGAAATTCTAGTGCCAAGATCATTGAAATATAAACGCGGTAAACCCAATAATTCGCCATCCCGAAATGATCATGTAAATAAATGGGTCGTAACAATCATCGACCCCAAAATATTGGGTTTTCTATTCCAGGTCCTTGGCATCCATGCACTGACCGCTTCGCGGAAGTTGTGCAGCAACCAAGCCTTGGTGGCGACTTCTCGTCAGCGCTGAACCGCCAATGTCTCCAAATCTGTGCTCAAATCCCAAACGTTTGATGTTGAAAACATGTTAAATCCCAAATTGGTGATGCTTAAATCGATGGTTCATCTTCAAACCCCGAAAAGGTTGATGCGTTGACCTTAAATGTCGATAAAATCACTTATATTATAATTATGAATCCCCCATGTTTCCCATGGTTCAATGGTTCAACTTCCCTGGAAATGCCGCCAGCGCGCCACATGTTTCCAGCTCAGCCTGGCATCGCCCCCACGCCGCGGCCGCAGGCAGCAGCGCAAAAACTCGCCACAAGGCCTGGGTCTTTTTTCGTCCGAGTCCCAGCGGGGTTTTTACCACTAAGAAGTAGGGGATGGGATAGTAGGGGCCGAAATTTGGGGAAGAACTATGTAAAAACTGATAGGAACCCCCAAAAAACGATGCCGAAAGAGTGTTTCCAGGATGGTAGTTTGATGATTTTGAGCTCACATGCCCAGGTTTCCAACTTCTCCGACTATTTTGGGAGTGCTTTAAACTGATGATGAAAATGCTTCAGTCTAAGATCTGATGACAACTTATGTACAGTAAATAACCCCCGTTATTATGGCCAAATCTACTTACTAAAGGTTCTTCACGAATAGTTACTGGGCATACCTCCGTTGAATCCCTATTTTTCATGGTTCAGACCGAATTCTTCCCAAGTGTGATGACTGAATCTCCGTTCATTCTTCAATCTCCATGTTCCATGGTCAATTGTTCATGATTAAATCCAACGATTCACTGCCCATCCCAAAGATTGATCATTAAAAATCCTTTGTTTTACTACTTAGAATCCCAACCATCGATGGTCAAATCCCACATGTTGTTAAATCCCCAAAGTGTTCACGGATCACTTTCCTCATTTTTCGTGGAAAAAATCATCGGTGATCCCCGTGGCCGACCAAGCGGCTGCACGGACACCAGCAGCATCGACACGGTGCGGCGGCTCCCAGAGGATCTCAAAGAGTCGCCCTGGGCCTGGCCCTGTGTGGAGCTGGCGAACAAGGCCTGGGAGCGGACCAGGTGGGGGATGGACCACCGGTTGGGGACCCTTACCCGGCCAACTGACCGTTTGAAAATGTGGAAATGGCTGAAGATCCGAGGTTATTAAATGTTACTAAGATCACAGGTTCATCCTTGGCACTTGCAGCTCAAGTGGCATAGTTCGCATAGATCGACAAAATCTGCACCCCAGATTCCACTCGGCTCAGGCTACAAAGCCTTGAGGCTGTGGACCAGCACCCTCCGGTGTCATCGATAATTCTGGCTGAATTGTAATTCATGATTCATCATATTCATAAGTAACAAACGTGAAATTTCCTGAAGTAGGGCCATGTGAGTTGTCAATACGTATATGTCATTATAATTCGTCCAGAAACATGGCTGGTTTGTTCATAGGAAATCATCGACCTTTAATGGGGATATATGGGATTTTCCAGCAGGCCAGGTGACCGATTACCAGATGGTACCTCATTTGGCGGTCTATGTCCGTTCCAACCAAGTTGTAGGCGTAGAGATTGAGACCCAACTAGGAATGATGATCATATACTTACTAGTAGCTTTTTCGGGACAAATGGACCACAGGCCTGCCATGTGGGATCGATTTGATGATCAAGCAGCAGTCGGGGGATCAGTGTTGGCAGTAAGCGGCGAAGTAAACCATGGAAGTCGAAGTAGAGGACCACTGCATCCTGCATCATTCTCATCATCATCATCATCATCATCTTCTTCTTCTTCTTCTTCTTCTGAATCATGATCTTCTCTGTTTCAACTCCATGTCAAACAAAGCGGCCACGCAAATTGAACGAACTACCTGCATGGGCAGAACAGCCCAGAACCGTCAAATTTCTTCCCCTTTGCCTGGCTTGCCACCTCATCCACTTCTCGTTCACGTGGAGGTCGCACAGGCAGCTGGGAAGGCACCAGGTAGATCTTCTGCACATCCGTTGCGGGCTGGCGACCCCTGCCACGTTGCAGACTGCAGCGAAAAACATCCAAACCCAACGAACATGTGGCATGGTGGGGACATGCGGTGTTTTTTGACTTCGTGACCTGGACCTTTTAAAAATGGAAGGCAAACAAGATGTCAAAACAACATGTCCCCATCCAGACACCCGCTGTGTTGCGACCTCGGCGTCTGCAGCTGACTCTGCTTGTCATGCCCCCAGGCCAAGAGAAGGTCCAGGGCCTGGGCTCTGCTGGCAGAGCGCAAAGAAACGGAAGGAGATCCACTTAAAAAGTGCATGTGCACCCAAAAAACTTTGCTTTGTTGGATGTTTGCCACTAGAAATCTTGTTTTTTTGGGCGTGTTTGCCACTAAAACTTGTGATTTGTTTTTGATGTTTGCCACTAACACTTGTGATTTGTTTTTGATGGTTGCCACTAAAAATTGTGATTTGTTTGGATGTTTGCCGCTAAAAACTTGGATTTATGATTTATCTATGAGAGAATTGGATTGAGCGGGGAATTTTCCGGTAAGAGTTGGTATACTCCCAGCCCCCGAGCGTAAAATACCCCCACCAACAGACTTCAAATCAATAGATTCACCACTAAGCAAGGCTTCCAGGGTGGTATTCAATATTAGGGTCAGGAACTAATACGTATGATTTTGTGTATATGTTTGTAACTTCTGGGGGGGCAAAGTTAGAATGAATTCCGCTCGTAAGGAGTGCTAGCTTCTGCACAAGCATGAAAAAAATTGTTCTTCAAGCAAAGTTTCGTACCGGAATCTTGCAGAAGTTACGCCCTGAAAGAATTACGTCACCCACTTGACACTGAGCAAACCCTGCTGGACCTGCAGCAAGCCCACCAGCTGCTGGTGGTATCGCGCAAAGGGCCGTGCCCGCCACACAGCGGTGAGCAGTTGCGTGTGCAGCATGCCTCGTGTGCGTTTTTCTCTGGATGCATTTCAATGTGTGAAGGTGCATGTGCGCATCCAATCCGTTTCAATACGAATCCAAATAGTCCAAACACAGTGTGCCCTACGTGGCTCACAATTTTAAGCACGCATCTGATCCATGGTAAGTTGACCCCCACAGCAATGCCTCGTTCCTTCAGTTCTGCGACATGGCGAACACAGCCCTGGAAGACTTTGTCTTTGGCCGTCAGCACCTAAAGAGGACGCCATGGACCAGCATGGTATGTCAATATGTCCAAATCTTGAACCCCTCAGCTGCCCCATCAATGCCAAGTCACTGCTGCAGCTGCATCTCCCACCCAGGCAGGTTTCAAGCAAACCAAGTCACCTTGGCTGGGAAAGCTACCTGGCCACGAAAAGGGGAAGCCGCAGTTGCAACGCTTGCGATTTGTTGTGGCATGCGGTGCATCGGATGACATTGACATATTTACCCTCGAAACAATGATGAATCATGCCATGGGACGGGTACACCCAAACATGTGCATTTCCAGAAAATCATCTTTGAAATGGGGTGCATGTCAGTTTGAAACGGGGGCATCACCCCAAAAAAATGTCCCGCTTTCCCTTGGTGCTTGGCCATGTGACGGAGCTCCTCCACCTCCGGGAAGTGGAGCAGGGCGCCCAGGCCATGAAAATGGCGCAGGAAATTCTGCCTGGGCGAACAGGTGTTGGAGAAGTGCGTGTTTCTTATTCCTATCTTCCACCTTATCACATTGTGCTTGGTTGATCTTGGTTGTATCATATCCCCATCTTTGCCGATGAAGCTGAGCCACAAATTCCTCTCTGAAGCGACTAGCTACTTTCTGATAAACGACTATGGCAAGGCTCGAAAATCCCCACATCTCCACTCATTCCTACATAGGGGAGTAATCTTGAATTACATGAATGTATAATAAATGAACCAATTTTACCTCCATCAATGTGTGTTTACGGTAATTCCATGTAATTCCCGTGATATGCCCATTTTCGTTGAAGCTTTCCTCAACCTGCGCCAGGTCAGCCGGGTCACAGCTCCTGCATGGACTCAAAGCCATAGCGCGCCGAACGCCTCCAAAGTTCCTCTACTTTCGTCAAGGGGCCCAAGTTGCCTTGGGAAATCTCGGTTTTGGATTTGGAGTTGCAAGGCTGCCGGGGAAGTTTAAACCACGGAAAATTAAAGATGTTAGATGATATTAACAAGAAAATTGTAATTTTGAATAAATTTAGGAGGATCTCGGTGGTCTTGGGGTGGCTTGATTTCAACGACTCTTGCAGGGAAATGAAGAGCTTTCACCGGCAGTTCTTGGAGATTTGACCCACATCCAAGGGGTCTGGGCCAGGTGGTGGCTGACAAGCTGCTGGTGCCGCTGGCTCGTTGAAGCACGGCCCAGAAATGGCTCCAGCGCAAGGGAATGGGCTTGCCCAATGTGCCTTGGTTCATGCGGCAGCCTCAGTCCTGTTGAAAAGGGTTGGACAGTTTGTCAAGACCGGGACATCCCGAGACATGTTTTAGGTGTCAAGGTGAATTCGACAAACTCCCTCCAAAAGCTTCCGCTTGCCCCATCTTGCCCCCCGATTCCCAACTCATCCTCATCCCCGAGACTGAGCCCGGAAGAATTATCCCTGTCCTCCCATCCCCATCCCTAACCCCAACCACCGCAACCCAAACTCCCAACCACCCCAGCCTTGCAGCAACTTGGCCACCATGGCCTCGACCGCCCTCTGCAGCAGTTTGGCACTGCGGCCACTGTCCACGCCGGAGTTGTCCATGGGGAAGAAGCAAAGCTGCCCCGTCTCGTTGATGTGCAGCTGCCTTAGGGAGGAGATTGGGTGTAGATGCGGTACCCTCAATCAAACAAACCAATGGAAACTTGTCCAGTTGTCCATATGGCCTATTGCACAAGTGTGATGTTCATTCCTAGTTCGGATTGAGGATGCACCCCAAAAAAATGGGACCCGGTAAATTGTAAAATGGGACCCGGTAAATTGCAATCTCCAACAAGGAAAATTGCCTTCCAGTGCCCATTTTTGGGGTTCCGGGTTGCTTTAATCGGTGGGATGAAGTGGTCCGGGCAAGTCACAAATCACCTCCTCCGGCCAAGCCACTCGTTGAGCTCCGGCAGCTTCTTGCAGAACGCGGTGATGCGCTGATGTACCTCCGCGTGAATACTTGGCCGCGAAGCCTCTGGGAGACCTCAGGGCAGCAAGTCTGCCATACTCAAATGGTTCATTTCCGTGATGCGGTGCCGAAATCAGACCCAACAAAGATCGACCATGATCAAACATTTCCCAGAATGCCAGGGCGTCAGTTCAGAAAGAAAGAAAGAAGGAAAGAGGTGTGTGGACCGAGGAAAATCAAGCAGAAGAAATGTCAAGCACTTCTCCAACCCACTGTTCCCCCCACGCCCCAGGCTAGGCTCCGCACAATCCTCGTGCGTGCCCACGATGGCCACAGGCGAGTTGGGCGCATGCACCACAATGGAGGCTAACCACCACTCCAAGGCATCCCAGGTCTGTGTGCTTTTGTCCACATCCTGCTGGAATGGATTGGTAAGAGAAAGAATGGAAACCAGTTGTTTTTTCCTGCCTATGAAATATGGGATAAACTTCAAAGAATGAAGGTTGGAAACCATGTTCTTTTTTGAATGGAATTTGTTGAAATATGGGGGTTACAGCAAACATGTTTCAATGTTCAATTCCGGGGAGATGTTGGTTGTGGATGGTTTATTGCAGCGATTTCTGGTAAATTTGAGTTGGTTTGTGGCTCTGGGTTTGACTTCAAGGGGGAATATATAGGGAACCACGGTTTTCACATCACATATGGTGGTGTCATGTGCTGTCCAGTTTCAATGTTCCCTTCATTTCTAGGAGAGATGCTTGAAGGAACCGAAGCTGCTATGACAGCACGTCATGAGAGAATTCATGGATGGTTACAGTATCCTGCCAATGGTTTTCCTGACCTACGGACAGAACGAAAGGATGGAGTAGGATGGGATACAGTAGGTAAGACAATGGGATTCGTATTCTCCAAATATGGCACAAAATGGGAAACACAATTACCTGGGCCAGAACTCCCAATCAAGTCCCATCCTTCAACTCCTACTTTCATCACCATGTTTCTAGGAAAATCCCATAAAATCCATGAAAATCCCATAAAATCCCATGAAAATCCCATAAAATCCATGAAAATCCCATAAAATCCATGAATTTTCCACTTTGATACGGCTCAAAGCCCTGTTTTTGCCTGCCTTCTCCAAGTCATCGGCCCCCGGCGGCCCTGGCCCTGTGGGCCCGGTGGCGTCCGCGGGCGAGACGGAAGGGCGCAGCGAGGAGAGGTCGATGCAGGCGAGGTAGATGCCATAGTCCTGAAGGGAAAAATGATGTTAATAGTAGTGTTAATATTGGTTGAATGTTGGTTTAATAGTGGTTATAGAATCCCAATGGTTAATATAATGTTCGGTGGTTTTTTGTCGTGGTTATATGTTAATAATAGGTGTTTAATAACCACTATATATTTATTATATATGGTTAATAGTGGTTATAGAATCCCATGACCTTAATATGAAGCACCCCAATTGGTCCCAATGATGTGGAAATCCAATACTAAACCATGGTTTTTAAGGGGATGTTTAATACTACGGGGAAGGAATTAATAGTGGTTAATAGTAGTTGATAGTGGTTAATAGTGGTAGTCAATTATACCTAATAATGGTCGATGATACTTATATTATGATTACTAATAGTTAATAATGGTCCATGGCTAGTATATAATGGCTAGTAGCGTGGGGTATTTACCAACAGACATGTAATCAACAATGGGGGCATCAACCGAAGAAGTGGGGGGAACAACAGCAATTTAGGTGACTTCACTGCGAGGCGAAGCGTTTTCCCCCAATTTTCCAGGTGTTCTTGGAATCTTTGGCCAATGTGATGTTGGTTGTATGACCAATTATGTGATCCATGTTCTTTATCCCTTGTGTTTATGGTTGCATCGAAAAAACTTTCCCCTATGGACCGTTTGGCAAGCAGTGTTGAGGTCTCGAAGGGTCTCAAGGTTCACCTAAATACAGAGTTAGAGACAGAAATGGAGATAGAGATAGATGTTGATGTTGATGTTGATATTGATGTTGATATTGATATTGATGTTGATGTTTATATTGATAGTGACAGTGATAGTGATGTTGCTATTGATATGTTTAAAACGGTATGAATGGATTGACTGATACTGTAGCTTGATCGATCTTGTGTCCTTCACCTTTCGACTGAGTTGAACATGTTGAACCACCAAGCGTCGCTCAGGAAGAGGTGGTGCATGGCATAGTAAACGTCTTGCCCGCCAAAGTCATAGGCCTCCAAAAGCCGCCAACATCCAATATCTGAGATGGGAAATGGATGAAAATGGAGCCGGTGAAAAAGTCAGTGTCGTAGTCAAACCATCAAATTACACCCTGAGTTATCTATAAAGATGTGTATATATATATGTGTGTGTGTATATCTCTCTCTCTCTCTCTCCCTCTCCCTAAAGTTATTGGTTTGTTGATATTCTATTATGTGGTTCCTGGAAACTCTAGCTCCTTGGCTCCCCATTGCAGAAGGGAGAGGTATGGACATTTGGACAGCTCAGCATCCTTAGCTCCCTTACAATCAATGTGGGTAAAACAATAATAAACCACCCATTTGGGAATGGTTTATACCACCTATTTATGGTGATTTGGGGGATGGTTTATTATTGTTTTATCCACATTCAATATATGACTTCCCATAACTCCGGCCAAACCTCTAGCACTACCGTCTTCTCCTCTTGCGCCGGTGCACCGTTGACCGTCTCGCCTAAGCGCCTGCAGTTTCGATGCCCGAAGCTGGAAAACACTGCGTGGGAAGGTGCCCAAGCCACATACGTTGATTACATGCGAGGAAACATTCACAAAAAGAAATTGCCTTGTTGGACACACTGCCGCCATAGTGGATTGCCGTTAACAACATCTTTCATCGTTCTATATTACTCGCGGGAACGCACCATTTCATCACCCAGAACAAACAAATTTCGCTGATTAGACTATCAGAAAAGGCCATATTTTTCTAACCCTCCAATAAATCAGCATAGATATGGCATATGATGCTGGAAAAAGATCGAAGATTCCGGCCACATGGGGAGATCATCTTCCCACACCCTGGCTGTTCCCCACACCTGGCTATGAGGTCCACGGGCATTCGCTTCATGACACTGGGGTCCAAGGTCTCCGTGCAGGGCTGTTGGGTGCTGCCAGTAGCGCCTTGCCCGGCCTTGGGGCGCACCATGTCAGCCACATACCTTGGCAGGTCGGGGCTGGGCAACCCAGTCTGCACTGATGGACTGAATGAGGAGAATATCGGTCATGTTTGATGTTTTCTTCACCGTTTCAAGGTCCCAAAAACAAAGCCACGAAATCAGGCAGAAGGGACTAACTGTGCCGGTGATTTTCCAAGATAGGATGTAGCCAGTTTGAAATCCTGTATGTACTAGGACGAATCAAATAAGCCAGGTCAGCCAGGTCTCTGAAGTCTTGATGGTTCACTAACAAAAAAAGAAAAATCCCTAAGAAAATGTGGGGTACCCAAGAAAATGGACGCGCTCAATCTTCAGCCTTGTGCAACCATATTTTTGGCAAAGTCCCGCACATGTCCGATACCATATGGGCACCCTGCATGTGACCGGCCAACCTGTGGGGTTCCTAAAATGACGCCAAGCTATCATCCCAAGCTATCATCCCAAGTTATCATGTGGTTGGGAAACTAACTCAATTCGTAGCTCCAGCTGACTCCCCATGCCAAATTCCCGGAATATGGACAGCCATAGCTGCCATAGCTCCTTAGCAAAAAAAATCCCCCATTGGCCACTGGATAGCCTAACCGAAGCCGAAGCACTTGGCGACACCACGATCCCAGCGGGCAGTGCTGGCAGCCGCCTGATCCTGAGAGCTGACACGCATCGACGTGGAAAACCCATGGGGAAACCCCTTTGGAAAATGATTGACATGCATCTTTCCACATCTAATATATGTTTGTTTGCAGGAGGGTACAATACGTAACATGTAGAAAATGTAACAAATCGCAATAAATCTACAAAAATGCTATGAATGTAACAAGTGTAATAAATCTAATAGATCTAATAAATCTAATAAAAATAGTAAATGTAATAATGTAGTAAATGTTATATGTAATATGCCAATATGCAATAATATCCTCCCCCTAATATGAAATACCCCCAGTTGCGTCCCCAAAAATGAATACATCCAAGGCTATTCAATATTACTGTAGAGGGAAAGAATTGTGTAATATGTAATATGTGTTAATCGCGTTACCCCTAATATCCTTAAAGTAGGGTTTCTGGGTGGCTATGTGGCATATATTAGGGGAAGCAATTGTGTAATATGTAGTATCATATGCAACGATCCCTTCCCCCTAATATTTCAATACCACATATTTGGGACCATTTAGGGGATGGGGGCAAGGATGATGCAATGCAATACGTGATATGTGATTTGCAATACATTGTATATATATATGCTATGTAGGTATATCATATACAATACTGCAGAGGTATATCCTATGTTCATCTATTTTGTGTATGTGAATTCTACGTCAACCATCCGAAGACGGTCCTGGAGTTGCCACCGACGCCCCGGGGCAGCAGACAACAGCTCCTGCAGACCGAAGCTGAAGTTGTCAGGTTTCCAGGATCTTCCTGAACTGTTCTCCAAAGTTTACAGCCCAGTTTCTACATGTATAATACATTTATATAACATATATATATATGTATGGAGAGAGAGAGAGAGAGAGAGACAGAGAGACAGAGAGAGGAAAATCTGGAAGCTCAAGTGGAATCAGGCAACCATCCAACACTCCCGTGGTGCAAAACACCCAGCCACGAGGCCTGGGATAGAGCCCAGCAGGCGAGGCCCGGAGTACTCTCCTCCTCAACCCTGGCAGAGGCAGGAAAGGTCTTGAAGTCTTCCTATTCGTTCTTCCTGACAAAAAAATGCCATGTTAGTCCCAACTGAAGAGGTTTGTTGATGAATGATGGCAAAATCATCGAACTAAACGAAGGGGTATTATCAGATCAGATTTTGATCCTTCAGACCCCCCCACTGGCTGGTTCAACCTTCGTTCGCCCAAGAGCAGATAGTCTTGCATCAAGAAATCCCAAAAGTTAATCTATCCCAGCGTTCCTCCCAAAAACTAAGGTACCCCAAATCCACTGGCTAATCATCATTTTCCCTACTAAATGGCCACTCGGGCGGGGTTCACCCCATCCCCACTATCTCCACCTTTTAGGACCTCAACCGCAGTTTCCCGCCTCAAGGGCAACCCGGAAAGCGCCCGCAGGGTGGACGTCTTGCCCGCCCGCGCGGGGCCCACAAAGCCCAGTTTGGCACAACGGCACTGGTGGGTGCCTCACCAGAGCAGTGGCTGAAACTATGTTGGTCAACTAATCGTTTTTCAAAACATAGAGGACCATAGGGAACCTATCAACTAACATGGAGAATCACACAGTTTTAGAGGGCCCCTATTTTGACGGGGTCTATGCTTGAGCAGAGGGTAATGTGGCTAGAATCCGGCTAATAATCTACATGAAAATTCCCAAGCTTTCCCGGACGGAGCAAAACCCAAGACAATTCCCAAAAGCACCCCCCATCGATGGCGAATCCCCGATATCCTGTCGCTGGGTTGTAGATGTGTCCCCTTTGAAGAATGATTTTACCAAGAAATCACATCATTAAAATCCAGCCTTCCCCTTCACCATTTGGGAAGGAAAAACGGGTCACATCCCTCACCTTGCAGCAGGGCCCGTCGGAAGGCATCTTTGGCATCCTCACCCAGGGCCAACTGCAGGTGTCGTGCCGAGCTCCGCTGGCTGCGGAATTTCTCCAGGTGATTGCCTTGAGGGCAAGGGGGGAAGCTGCTGGCCAAGTGGCAAAATAAGGCGCCAGTTGGCAACCAATACGTAAATAAGAGGTCAACAGGAGGTAAATCAGAAGTAAAAAACAGGTAAATGAATCTGATATGCCGTTCATCTTTACCTATTGGTACTATTGGTTGTTCAATGGCCTACCCCCCTATCAACCTAACCATGTTCACTATGTTGAACCAAATCATCCCAGGATCATGAACCTCTCCATAATTTGGAGACCTTTGCCAACCGCATTGTTTTACCCCCGGCTACTCCAAGCTGGGAACGGGAAATCCCGCATTAGAATCCATTTATGAATGGATATAATATCATCCATGAACAATTTGACATGGGCAGCTGAGTTTACCCAAACTCCCAGAAATACCACTGGTTTATCATGTTCCCAGTAAAGTCCGGGAAAAACCAGATCTAAACCTAGCAGCTGGAGCTCAAGCGTTGCGATGGCAATCTGGGCACCGATGCCGACGCCACCATACTTGGCTCGCGGCTATTGGCCTTAGGAGGAGAGAGGGGGAAAAAAAAAAACGGCTGATTTCCAGCACCGAAAACCCAATCGTGCAGCATGTGGATGGTTGCTTGAAGATTGGATTGCTCAGATTGATCTTCAGCTTTCATCAACTGCCCTTTAAAGGATGTTTTTTGGAAGGCGGTCATTGCCCTTTCATCAACTGGTCATTTGGAAGGTGTCCAGCAGATGGCCCAGTGGCAGCTCGTGGCGGCGGGCTCATCTTAAACTTGCCTTGCGATAGGTGGATGCAGCTGGATGCCCCTCTAACCCCGCTGGCAAACTGGTGACTGCCAGCAGGATGTTCGTTTTCGAAAATCTGAGTGGTTCCACTTCAATCATTCTCAATGATTGTTGAAGTCAAGTATAGTGACGCACAAACATAAATACAATTTACCACCATTTCAAGAGGATTTTACAAACTCGGTGGTTTTTTGGGACTTTACTATACGCCCATCTGGCTCATTTGTTTCCTATGTGGAAAACTCAGATGGGTACAGCTCGCACAGCTCCGAACCGCTCCCTCCTTTCACCACTCGATACCCTACCCGGTACTCCAACAACGCAATGGAGATTTTCCCCCCCTTTTAATGGATGTTTTTCCATTTTTCCCATTAAAATGCCAGGTTATAAGATGTTATAAGGCATTTCCCAGCCATCAGCCATGTTTGCTTAGCCTGTCTTCTCGTTGCCCGCGTTGGCCACACCCGGACCAGTGCGCCGCTTCTGCCGTGGTGGCGTAGCGTGCTCGAAGGAGGTGGACAGCTGCTTACGAAAGGTGTGACTCGGGGGCGGAGAGCCTCGCGTTGGCTCTGAGACAGTGATAAATGGATTGATGCTATTCGTGTTTTTAACATGTTCTTGTTATAATTATTCTCATTATTGTTGTTATTATAATTATTGTTAATACTGTTATTATTGTTACTATTGCTATTATTGCCATTATTGCTAGTGGTTTCGTTATTGTTGTCATTATTGTTGTCATTGTTGTTATCATTAGTGTCATTGCTATTACCCTACTATTCTCATTGTTGATGTTTTCTGCTACAACCACAATACAAGGTTGGGAAAGTTGCGGGAAACCCATGGTCTTTAGGCCCAATTCGGCAGGCTTTCCCATCAAGTCTTCCCTTCAAGCATGACGCCAAAGAGCACCCATTTGGGAAAAAGGAAGTCTGGTTGGTACTTTCTGCCAGTGGAACAAGTGGTCAATTGGAACCATCCTAAATAGGTCAGGTCTCCTGAACCGGCGCGCTCCGCGCTGCCGTCGGCACCGCTGCGGGGCGGCTCAGAGGCGGCACGCCTGATGGCTGACTGATGGAATTCATCCGGTTGGGTGACTGGTTGAGACTGTGATGACCACAGGAAATGGAAAGTGGAAGCATCCTCAGAATACAGTTGGCAAACCACTATCTCTCCCGGGCCACTGCTTTTTGAGGAAAGGGCATGGACACAGAATTATATGGCATATAGGTGGATATTCTTGAAAATGATCTTGTCAGTTCACCAAAGCATCATTCCTTGGCATCATTTAGCCAGCTTTCCCAAGAGCCTGATTCTAGACCCATAGTCACACCCATCAGATCCATCAGCACCATCCCTCGACCCAACCATTATCCGTATACAATCATATGCACTACACTCACAACTTACATGCAACCCAAAAATGGTTCGAAGTTGATTTCTACTGGAAATTCACTGCGGTTTGAGTTTTTCTACATGGACATGCTAACGGAAATCATCATGTCAGTGAAATGATCCAAAGTCTTTCCTCTAGAAACACTGGGTGATTTTCCAGTACGGCTGGGGTGCCATGCAGGGATGGGTTAAGCAGTTTCAGGCGCGAGGTACAGTACCTGTTTCATGGTCATTTACCTCATTTACAAGTTTAAAAAAAACTATGCGATTTTCCAGCATGCCGGAGCGATTGCAAAGTTTACAAGTAGCATGGTTTTCAAAGATTGGCCATCACATGCAGCCCATGCTCTCCCAGAACACAGCTCCCATAAAATCCCTCCCACAAAAATCCATCTTTAATGTATGATATTTTGGGCTGGTCGCGTTTTTCTTGCGATTCCGCCATGGCTTCCCCAAAAAAAATGGTGCCACCACCCACCACAAGTTTAAGTTTAAGTTTAGAACTTCAGTTCATCATAGTTTATCACAAGTGTCATCGACTTCCCCCATCAAAAATCAAAACCGCCATTTTTGGGCATCCCATTTGGGTTCAGCCCCAAATCCAAGTTCGCTATTGAAATTGCCAGGGTTCTTCTCCCCAAACATTCACACACCTGGAGACACCGACTTCTGAAGTTATATCCCGCAAAATCTCCCTAGTATTACCCTCTGGTAAACTAACATAGCTATGGAAAATCACCATGTTTAATGGGAAAATCAACTATAAATGGGCCATGTTCCAGTTCGCTATGTTAAATTACCAGAGGGTACTCCTAGTTACTGATAAATCCCCCAAATTTCACCAGGTGCATCCCCAACTTTCACAGCACCTCAGCATCACCTTCTGCTGCCTCGCGCCAAAGCGCAGCTCTTCGGCTGTGGTGGAGTCACTGGTGCGACCCTCACCCAGGCTGACACGGCTCCTCAGCCATGTGATTTTGGGATGGGTTTCTTGACCTATGGATTTCCAGGAAAAACATGGATCCTGCCATCCTGCAGTGGGTCAAACTTGGCAATGTTTGGATTTAAGTGCGTAAAGCTTGGCTTGGGTGGTGGGCGATTGGATCAAGGCTCTTGTTGGAAATGGGGCGATGAGGAATAGTTGTAGGCTGCTCTTTCACGGCGAAATTTAGGCAATGTTGAAAACAAGAAGCTAAATAACGAACATATGGATTTGACCGCAAAATAAATGTTTTCCCACGGATTTCGAGATTGTCTTTCAGGTGAGAATTAGAGGATTCCTAAAGGTCCTAGGTCCTAGGTAAATTGGAATTTCAGTTGCAGGGTTGAAAACCTTCTGAATTCTACAAAGCAAAGCGGCGAGGGAAATTCACATTGCCCATTCAGCTTACCTTTCCTACCCTCCTTCGGCCACGTGTGCAAAACAGGCAAACATGGGCAACCACACGCGCTTAGCAGTGCCAAGGCTCGATTTTCTGAGCAGGTTGGTATTGAGTTTGTTTAACATTGCACTTCTTGGGCTCTTTTTCGTTCGTCCTTCGGTCAACCTCGGCTTGGGAACAACATCGTGATGCATTCAGCATCACTTTCACAAGATCAAGCTAAAGGGGTTCAGATCCTTCCCATCTGATCCCTAGTGGCCTAGCAAAATCTGAGTACATCCAAATGCTGTTCAGTGGAAACAAAAGGAAAATCAGCTGGAACCATGGTCTTTGATTTTAAGAATTTTCAACTTGGAAACCAATTTAGGGACTGGTGACTTCAATGCATCAAAAAAGAGCGATGGCTCACTTCTATTGTTGCGATCCCAAGTTTTGCTGTGTTAAAATCCCAACATTTGATGGTTAAAACCCTATGTACAGTGGTTGAAGTCCCCATTTTTGCTTGTCAAAACCTTATTCATCACCCTTAAAAATCCTGTGTCTCCATAGTGAAAACATGTTTTTTTGAATATTTTAGTTGGAAAAAGACTCAAAATTTTGATTGCAAAATCCATCAAAATCCCAAATTTCCCCAGGTTTCATTGCCACCGGGGCACATCATCTGAACGTTGGGTTCGGTCTTTCTCCGCACCGACTGAGCGCTCATGGCGCTCATGGCGCTCATCGTCACGGCGGAGTCTGCACAGCTCACCTTGGGGATGGGTGGATCTCACCATAATGTATACGCATGGTGTATGTAAATGTAGTGGCAAGTATGTGGATCATGTAACTTTAATCATATATATATATGTGTGTGTGTGTGTATGTGTATGTATTTATTTATTTATTTATTCATTTATTTATTTGTTTGTTTGTTTGTTTATTTATTTATTTATTTATTTATGTGTGTGTGTGCATGCATGCATGCATGCATGCATGCATGCATGTATGTATGTATCAATACATACGGCATATCGTGCCTATAATGCATGCATATATGAAAGGGGAAAACATGTTGTGTGTATTCATTGGTAGGTTAGATAACTCTTTCATTGGTTGGTTGCCTGTGAAGGGATCTGGGGCTGAGTCTTGGTGATGTGATGGAAATTGCTCAACTCCAAGCCCCAGCCCATCAAGTGTCCACCACGACCAATGGCAACTGAGCCCAATTTTGCAGGGACCCTTCCATTATGGAATCATTCCATACCTCCAGCATTTTGCTTACATGTCTTTCTTTGGTAATCAAACATGGCTTGCTCTTTCCCGGTGATGGTAAAATCATCACCCTTGTTTGGTGGTCAAACTCATCTTTGCTGGCTCAATCCGCCATTTTTGTTTGTGGAATCCCAGCATTTTTTGCCCGAATTCTCATTCTTGCTGCTGGAAACTGCTTCGAATCCCCATAGATCAGTTAACTCCCTAATTAATTTCTGCTCGAACAAGTCATAAATCCCAATCCAACCTCCCAAGTTACATTTCCCTTTTAAAAAGTACCAACCACGTGACGTTGGTCACCGTGGACTCACTCGCACTCTCGCTATCCGACGGCATCGCGGTGGCGTCCAGCAGGCGTAGACCTGCGACCTCAGCACCTCGGGTGAACAGTTGGGTCTGACTGAAAGTTTGGTCCATGGTATATAGTAACCCCAGGAGGAGAAAAAAAAAAAAACTAGCAAATTAAAGTCTCACCAAATTGGCATGGTGATAATATATAACTGTTCTAGTTCTATCTTCTTTGGGGTTACCACCCAAATGGCTGATCAAAAATTGGGAAAGTATTGGAACACGATGAAACCAGTGGATTTTGAGGGTACCCAATTTTCAGACAAATCTATTTAAACACCAGAAATCAAACTCAGAAATCACGGTCTGGGGAGGGAACTAAGGGAAAATTATGATTACCACGGAACATTGAGGTGTCATGGAATAGTGACCACTCATTGTAGAGGAGCATATGATAATCATTGGATTGTTTCCCATCTAAGGGAAATTTTGGACCGGAAACCATAGCAAAGTCAAGTTGACCATGGGTTCGTGCAGACCTTCCCTTTAACCAAGTCTGGGAATGTCAAGCGTGGCAAAATCATCCTCTTTTCACGACAAAAGGATTTATGTATAAATGGTGAATGGTGGATTCGCGACTTGGGGTGAAGGATGTCCCATGCTGCTTTACATCATCCGTGTTAGAAAAAAATGGTCCAGAAACATGGTCCCAACAAGTCATCGTTTTCCAAAAAAACATGATGACATGGTCCCAACCATGGGGAAATCCAACCAAGAACCATCCAAGGCTGATCTCCAGCATCTCCAAGCGGCTCAAACTCGCCGCGGACGGTGAGGATGCCACGGGTGACATGGATGAAGGCACATCGCCTCAAAGGATTCCACCCAGGATTTCACCCAGGATTTCACCCACCATTGGGCTTTCAGGGGGGACTTCAGGACTTGCAATGGGGATTTCAGGCTGCCTGGGATGTTTTTTTCAGCATCTTTTGGTAGCAAAATTCTGAACCAGATCTGCCGCTCGGAGTTGATTGGGATGTGCCATACGAAATTGCAGTCTCATTTCTAATGTACAAATAGCCCAATATCAAATTTTCTATAAAATGGTCACTTACTGTTTTGCAAGTTGATCAAAAAGCGCAATTTTGGGCGTTCATCTTAAGCCATACTCAGGTCAGTAACGGCCGGTTGAATGACCCACCGCACCCCATGGCACATCATGGCACCTTCAAGAACTGGTGGAAGCGCAAGCTGCGCACGTTGCCGGCGGTCACCTGGAGGATAAAACCGGCGAAGTCCTCCAAATTTTCCATACCATATGTGTGTGTCGGACAGTGGGGGGTGTCTTCAACAACGGGATTTTGGATACCCTATTTGCAGGCAAATTCATATTGTTGTGACGGTGATTTTCCATTTTACTTCTTCAATATCCGTTTCTATCTGCTCTTAGTACTGAATAGCCAATGGCCATCGCAATTGGTTTTGGTGATCTGGAAGGCGTTCCGAAGAAAATTAATACACAACATCATATTTCCTCCATCAAGATCTACCAAGGGGGAAGGTTTTCACATGTCTTACCTTCAATCTCCTGCAGGCTGCATGTTACTTTTAGTTGCTTAGGCATGCTTAGGCTATTTTACTATGTGACCATTTGACCCACTAACTAGTCCCAAATTGTGATGCTTAAAACTGACTCAAATCCCAACTGCGTCATGGCAAAAAAAAATGTTAATCCCCCATCTTTTCAGCACCTGCTTGTAGCAGATTGGAGCCAGCATCCGTCTCCGGCACCGGCGCCAGCGGCGTGCTGTTGATCAGCATGGCCGGTGGGAGGACACTATCGGTCTATGGTGAGATAAATTTCTTGAATCCTACTGGGATCAACATAAGATTCCATGAGATCAATGTGATTCTGCTGATCTTGCTGGATCGATTCTTGATGGGGATCCTACTTGGGAGGTAGAAGGACTTCAAATTGCAACGGATTTTAACGGTTGCATGGAACTCTCTCATGGCTTCTTGAGGGCGCACTGTGTCCCCATCTGGCTCTGGGAGGCATCGCTGAAACCCCCATAGCAAAGCTGCACCCTCCGTGCGTTGAACCAACTACGCTGAGGCAAGGAATCAGGTAGCTCAAAAAACTTCTAGCATCGGCTGGTGGCTGGGCTAGAGTTTGAAAGAGATTCCATCCAGTTGCTAATAATTCACCAACCCAATCCGTGAGTTGAGAAATGCCTCATGTTGCCGTGTCAGAACCTTCACATATTCCTTCTTGCAGCCCATCTTCGTCCAAATCAAATGTTGAAATAGGTATGGCTCAAAATCAAAATCCGATCTTCAGCACTAGACTAGACTCACTAGACCAGCTCCCAAGCTCTCCTCTTTTTCAGCCGATCCAGCTGTGTCAGTCAGAGGACCGACCTTAGGACCACGACACACAGGGTCCACCTCGACCGCATCTCACCTTTGAAAATGCGGGATAGGTGAACGGTGAACCGCAGTCGCAGCTGAGCTGACCATCTCAGTCACCTTGCATTGGATTGAAAATGACCTGCCGTAAGTGGAGGGAGTTGTTCCATTTTTGCGGCTGCTCAGCTGTTCCCACGGCTGCCAAGAGGGGTGGTATCTATACACACCCTGCCGGTGCCACTGCCTGTTCCTCAGCACAACTGGTGCTGGCGGCAAAGGCATCGGATTGGCAGTGTCCACCCACTAAGCAGCCGGGAAAAGTAGCAGAGGCTGCATCAATGCCTATACTTTTGGAAGATCTTGAATCCTACCATTGGTTTAAGGGAAACCTTGCAGGAAGCCATGTTGTTCTCTATTTTTTTCCTGCAAACTGGCCGGGTGGCTGAAAACGTCATGCATTGGAAGCTGGCCATAACTCTCAAGTTTACCACTTAGAAATAGCTGGTTGGTTCAAAGCATTTTTCTGCGTTTAAGATGAATCGTCATAAAGGTCGCCTATCTTTCCCCTCAAAAATCAAAGAATATCAACCGATTGTCACCATGCCCACCTGCAGCTTCACTCAGGTTTCCTTCTGCCACTGGGATGTTCCCACAATTGACCAAGTGGTCCGTAAGTGCGTTCATTCACCCCATACAAAAGAACAGAATGTACAGTGTTTTCCCCATGGTTATTTGGCCAATTCTGGCAACATTTCCCCCCATCATAGCGGATGATGTTTCCGGCGAATTTTGTTGGGGGGTGTCACCTGACTAGGGGGAGGTTAGTTTGAATCCCCACGATTCTGGAAGCCTGCGCTAAGCTACCACAAAGGGCAACAGACTCGCAAAAGACATCAGCCAACCACCATCTCGAATTCTTATGGTTGATTTTTCCCAAATGTCAATCCAGTTTTTCCATATACTTTCCCCAAATCATAGGCACCTTAAATTTCGCTCTACCACCGAAACAAATTCAGACTCCCCGTACCATCATTCTATCCTTTGTTCTGCCAGCATTTTTCTTGGGTTTCAGTCCAAAACCCCCACCTCATCGCTGGTAAAATTCCCATATTTCCCCCACTTGTTGGACCTTCAACCATGTCTCAGCCAGAAAACCTCAGGTTCCCTGGAAGATGTTCCCCTGCAACAGCGCCGTGGTGGCGCGATCGTTGCGCTCACTGCGCCCGTCCTCACTGGGCCACAGCAAGAGCTTGGTCCATTCAAAGGCGCCCAGCCATAGGGCGCCCCCCAAGCCTGAGATCGGTTGATCTGAAAAATCAAGGGTTAACAACCGATCAACAACCGATCACTATTGAAAATCTATGGAAAATGTGGTTTAATATAACTGTTCACTTGAAACAGAGAAATAAGGTGATTCATTATTGAATTATGAACTTTAAAAGAAGACTATGAACTGTAAAAGAAAAATGTGGTTAACCGATTAACCATTAACTTTTAAAAGCATGTAGTTAACTTGTGGTTGGGAAACTCAATTCGTAGCTCCTTGGCTCCCCATGCAAAATAGGAAATATGAATACCCCTAGCTCCGAGCTGCTCTCTCCTAACCCACTGGATGGTTGACTATATTATATAACTATGTTTCAAAAAGGGTGTTTCCTATTTCCTATTTTAACGTTTAAAAAGATGTGGTTAGCTAGTGTCAACTGATTGGTGGAACTTTCTGTTTGGTTTTAAAAGGGAAGTTATACAAGTGATTTTATCTTGGCAAAAAAGGAAAAAAACTAGTGGATATGTAAGGAACAATGCAATATATGGATGTGTCTAAAACTGGGGTATACCCCGAAAATGAATATGTTAATGCGGAACATGATGATAAACAGGTGGACTTTTGGTCCAAAAAATCAAGAAGAGTCGACGATCAAAAACCCAAGAGTTTACTGATTCAATCGGCAAGGATGACTTTCACTAAAGCTGGCCTTTTTCGCCGAAGCAAAAAAAAATCGGGTCTGTCAGATGCTTAAATAAACTTGCAATAAACATCGATCAAAATCGACTCATGGCACCTGAGTGCAGGCCTCGAGGGAGCGCTCCCTTGAAGAGTCCCATCATGCCACACTCCTGCAGGGGGACTTTGATGGGTAGCCATGGCATTTCAACCACCATCTGTTGGGATCTAACCAAACTAATAGCTATGCATATAGTTATATATAGTTATATATAGTTTTGAAATATATATATATATATACATATATATCATTATATACATATATCATTATCATCATATATCCGTTTGTAACTGAAACTGCACCCCCCCAGTGGGGACTCCAGTCCAAGCCAGCGTTTTTTTGGCATCAAACTTGGGGAAACTGGGGAAACCATGCTGTACATTCCTAGTTCGGATCCTCATCCCAGGAATGAAGAAAAACATCAAGCCACCAAGCGACTGATACCTGGCTGAAATGGAAAACAATAATTCACTAAACCTCAAAAATAGGCGGAAAAAATTGATCATTTTGAGATGACTAGCCGTCACTAGCCATCATTCCATCATGCCAGTCCTTGCTCATGACACCCAGCGTTCGCCACAGCCCGAGGCGAGCCCTCGGGTCTTCCTGGAACGCCAAGGTCCCAATGGTGGCACTCGGGCGAACCCATGAATGCACGTGGAAAATCATATTTCTGATTGGATTGACTGTATCATCCCCTTCAGCTTCACACGTTGCTATGCCAATTCTAACGTCTTTGGGTGGACTTCATGTCCCAGCGGCCGTCAGCATGATGCGAGTCTTGGCTGCATCCAAGGGCGTCGTCGCCAGACCAGCAAAGCTACCAGCCACAAAGCCTCAGAGAAGGGGTCAGACCGCATGGATTGAGGGCCACCACCATCCCCAAGACATCCCAAAATCCAAGCGAATTTCATTCCCTCAAATATTATAGAGGGCAGGTCAACGGCCCTGACTGATGTTCCATGATTTTCACAATGAAAAACTATATTCAGGGCCTTTTTTTGGGTTGGATGATGCACCGCTGCAGCCAAGTTTCCACAATGCATGCCAATAAGACCTGCAACACAAGCAGGGCTCATCTCAGAAGAAATGCATGAGCTTCCCATTTTGAACTACTGCATTTCCATACTTTCCTGAGAGAATTGGCCTGGAATGTTCTACCTGCTGACCCTGATGAACATGGCCACCTTATCATATTGCCATGGATTTAGCTGAATACGATTAACAGCTGACTCCTAAAACAGGGTTCAGCGCACGTTTCAAAAAGTTAAACGATGTTTTGCGCTATTTGGTAATTAACGATGCAAGTTATACCCTCTGGTAATCAAACATGGCAATGGAAAATCCACCATTTATGGACGATGTTCCCATTAAAAACCTCCAATTTATATCCATTCATAGACGGTTTCCGATTGCCATGTTTGATTGCCGGCCCCAGAGCGTCATAGATAACACTACATCCAAACCAGCCATTGGCCTGTCAGTTCCACCCCTCTCCCAACCTTGCCGTTGCTTGTTGTCTTCCGCATGCGCTCGTGCAGCCCAGGGGTGATTGTGTTTTAACTCCTGGGGAAAGTGGGATGTGCTCCAAAGCACTGGGGGCTCCAGCTCGGGGCACTTTCACAGAGGCCAAACGAAACTTTTGCTGATCTATTGATCCCCTGCGAAAGGTTTATCTTTTTCTGCCATATGTGGCAAAACGGTGAAACTACAAATCCAAGTGGCTGCCAACAGGGCGAACTTTTCCAAAACAGACCTACTTGGCCATCTGACCATCTGCGCGATCCACGCCTCGAAAAGTGGCATCTGGATCAGTGCAAACGGCACTTCACCTGCAAAGGCTGCAAGCACCGAAAAATCATTGACCAGTGACAGCTAAAACTTGGCACCAAATAGATTGTCTACTTGAGGAAACACAAGGCAATATTAAGAGGAAACCGTGCCTTTCACATTTTACGTGTAAGGCTGTGTAAGGTGTAAGGGTGTCTTGACACCGGTTTTTGCTCAAAGTCTGCCTAAAACCAATTTATCAAACAAGGCGACGCGCAACGTCTCCCAACACATGTTGCCAAGATGCGCATCGCAGTAGCTGCGAAGCCAGCGAAAAATCCTTTGACACCCTCGGCCCAGACCTGGCTTTGTCCCCCTTGCGGGGGTGGGGCTATGGCTATGGGTACCCTCATGCCCTGGTGAACATCAAAATGGCAGGCAAATGGATGCACATTCTCCCCAAATATGCTACAGTAGGCTTTGATCCACTCCTGAAAAACTCTGGAATCTGGGTCGCCTCCAACCATGAAAGGTCCTGGGGTCTACTCCCTGAGCATTTCCCAGGGTTTTAGCCATTCCCACCATGCCTTTGACACGGTTTGCGTGAAACTGAGCGACACTCCACAGGGACCAAGTGCTTGCATGCGCTGCTTCAGCACTTCCTTGATTGCAGCAGTGAGAATAGCCAACAAAACTGAATGGATAGACGACCCTGGCTGAAGGAGCTTGGCAAGACCTGAAAGGGGCAGTTGATTAGGATCCTCCTAAGCGGAAGCCTGGCAAGGCATCCAAGGAAGGCCAACAACTGGGCCGGCTGCCGCAACCAACCATCTTCACAAATCCACCACTCGGGGTGCGGTTCTACTTAATAATCTGAATAAATGAGCATATGGCCAAGATGGTTGCAGGGGTTATATATCAACTTTTTGGGGTTCATGGCCATGCAAGTTACCACCATAGTTACGTCGAGTTTCACAATTAAAGGTCACCCCAATTGTACCCCCAAGCACGCTCAAGCAGTCACCAGCTCCCATCGAATCTGCGCCGAGCTTCGCAGGGCACGCGCACCACACAGGCGCTGACATCCGCGACCGAGGCCGCAACTGCATCGCGGGACATGGCTTTGTACTTGTCGTGTTGGGTGGCCTCAATGGGCGGCCTTCATTGGAGATCTTAGATGCCAAAGAAGTTTGGATAAAATGATCTTAACAAATCTTAGATGCCAAAGAAGTTTGGATAAAATGATCTTAACAACTAAATATTGGAATTATTTTTTAATTGGATCTAGGAAAAAAAATAGGGAGTTAGCAATCAGAATTGCAATTCAAAGGTGCAAGCGATCTGAGGACCACACTGGGATCCGTCTTTCAAGGAAATGTCGCGACGACTCATAAACCACGAAGAAGAGCCTGGGACTCCCAACTGAAATGCACAGAAGCCATTGTGCCCATGGGGGGCCTTGAATACCCTCTGGTAATTTAACATGGCTATTGAAAATGACCATTTATAGTGGATTGTCCCATGAAAAATGGTGATTTTCCGTAGCTATGTCTATGTTAAATTACCAGAGGGTACTCCTTCTTTGGCCCACACCAGTTCCACGGAACTGGGCTTCTGGCGCACTGCCAGGCAAAGACACCGCCAAAACGGCACTCAACCTGAGTCCGTTTGACCACCTTTGGCAATCAAAGCATGTTGAGAAAGGCCCCATTTGGCCATTTGGTATTTTCCAGTCACGTTCCTTTTCATGAGGGTCGTCCAAATCGCTTCGCACCCACGAAAAGCGTGGCACTCTTTCCCGCCAGGCAACCCGCTCCAAAGGTGGCGATAGCCACCTGCTGGCCAAAACCTCAAAAACTGCTCCCCTGCATCGTTCTTTATGACGAGTGGGTCCCGGAACAAGACACAAAACACACAAAAAAATGACTGCTAAGGAGTGACCAAAATTTGCTCAAGTTCCTGGATCAAAAAGTTGGACAATGAAGTCGAAATTAGGGTGGTCGCATGGTCTCAACATGTTTTAAGTGTTCAAGACACACGGACCCACAGCCATTCATCAGATCAGCCAGGCGGCCCCTCCCGGGATTGCACCCGAGTCTTCAGCGTATCCAGTGGATGCAAGGGCACATCCACTGCAATCCCGGCCAACCTTTCATGTCTTGAACCCTCCTGGAAAGTCACTAAAGTCACTATATATACCACTATATATATATATATACAGCTGGCAATTGTTGAATAAACCTTATGAAGACCTAATCTTAAGTGGGAGTAGTAGTTGGTCAATAAGCCTGATTTCAATGCGTTCTGCTTTGCTCAGAGGGATATGACCATACTTTCCTACCAGCTACAAACAGTGAGATGGCCCTCCAAATACCATCCATTCTCAATCCAAGAGCTTTGATGACCTTTGGACTGCCAGTCTCTTGAGGTTCCAAGACACCATGCCCCTTGGATGCCTGGGGTTCTACCCTATTAAAATTCTATGAACTGATAAAATCTACCAATCTACCATCTGCAAGCCTTTCCACCAACAATCACCAACTGTCTTCCAAGGAAATCATGAGCATTTCGCATGTTTTGGGCCACGTCTCAATTCCAAAATTGACGAAAATGGCGTACATCATTTTTGGTCACCACTTGAACCTCAGTTTTCCAAAAAAATCCACTTCAATCATGGATGTTTGGCAGGTGCCCTCCAAAGGTGACTCCTCGGCTTATCAACCAGCAACAAACAATGATAATAAGGGCTTCTTATGCCATCTTATGCCTATAAATCATCTCTTATATATTGGATTGGTTGAATCCTCATGAAGTTTTTTTTTTGGTAGGCTTTTGGCCCCAAAATCCGAAAATTCTCCAAAATCTAGCTAAATAAACCCAAATCGTTCCTATTTTCTGATGTTTGTTTGTTGGTTTTAGGCCCACGGCGACCATCCCCTGCAGGCGCCCCCACAGCCCAGCCGAGAAGGACACCAAGACCGGCGGCTCGGAGCCCAGCTGTCGCAGCTGTCGGTCATTTTGGGAGCTCTTTGGCCTCGACGGGGGGCGCATGGCCAATTTTTTGGGGAAGTCCTGGAAGTTGGAAGTTTGTTGATTTTTTACCTGTTGATGTATTTCCATAACCCCCTGGTAATTTAACATAGCTATTGAAAATGGTGATTTATAGTGGATTTACCCATTGAAAATGGTGATTTTCCATAGTTATGTTAGTTTACCAGAGGGTAATTCCTGTGATGAATTGATGAACCTGAGAATTGACATTATTGTCAATGTTGCACAGCGACAAAGATAGACTCAGCAAAAAAAAGGTTGGCACGGCACAATCTCTTGTGGAGTGTTTTCCTGGATCCACACCTGATATCACGCACCTGCCATCCGAATGGAACTGGGAGACCATCTGCCATCCAAGGTGCACAGCCGGCACTGCAGGCGCCGCTGCCAGGATCACTGTCGCCGGGCGCGGCTCGGGCACGGCCGGGACGGGCATGGCCTGACTGATGAATGGGATACGTGTATTAATATAACCCACCAACAATGGGTGATCGTTACGTGGTCTCCAACCACCAATAACAGGTATATGTAGTATTGTATATGTGTGTAATATGTATATATATATATGTGTGTGTGTGTTATAACGGGGATATATCTATATATATATAACTATATAACATATACAAACGGAAATTGTTTGAAACCTAGCATGAATTTTGTGGAAGCTCAACAACCGATGGGATCTGAAATGGGAGGGAAGGCAGAATCAGAACATTTTTGAAACGGATAGTTTTAAGTTGGTCAACATGGCAATTCAAATCAAGAATCATGCACAAATGCATCCACATGATTATACCCAAAACCATCCCCAATTTTTCCAGACATGGAGACAATAAACCATCCACAGGAGGTGTATGGGATTGGGTTTACAGCATTAAGTGGCAAATTAAATAGCTAGGAAGCAGAGTTTTGACCCGCTTATGGGATAACCCACGGCTCAGGGACAACTTCACGGTTTTCCTGGTGAAGGTAAGTGTCGATGCCCCAGCTTGAGGTACCCCGTATATATCTTCCTCGATCAGATTTACATTACCTTATAGTAACCCCAAAGAAAATGGAAAGAAGATGGAAAAGGATGGAAAAGGTTCATATTGCTTTTCCAAATTGATGATTTGAGACCAGTCCAATCCAAGATGCCTTTCTTTGGTTCAAAAAGTATTATTATTTTAGTGGGATTTCATTGGTCTACCCGGTTTGCCACAGAATGGATCCCCAGTCCTTGGGCTTGACCTGCTCCTGTTGAGAGTCAACCACCTGCAAATGTTTCCTGGGAGATGCGGTGATTTCGGGCGATGTCATGTGGACAACCTCTGATTTCCATCATTTTTTGGTGATGTCAGAATCAAAATCCAACAAGAAATGGGGGTGTAACCTGCCAACCCTAGTGATTCGACCAGAATTCTGGATCCCATCCCGCTGATGATAGATTTGGTGGTGAAACTCTCAGTAGCTCCCTGGCTCCCCATTCAATAGGGAATATGATGGAATATTAGGAGACCCATAGCTGATTAGCTCCCAAAATAACCACTGGATTGTGAAAAAGTGTCCAGGGTTTCCAGGTTTCCTGAGAGGGTGTTCGGCTCCGCTCCCAGCGGATGGGGCGACAAAAAGCTTCCAAGGCTCTTGGCCAACTCAAAGGAGCCGAGGAAGATGAAGCCTCCAGGGCATCTGCTGTGGAGCCGATACCACTCTGAAGCCATTATTGATGACAATGAGCACCTATAAATGAATCCACCAACGAGACTTAAGAACCTTGCCATGAAAACGGGGAGATATATATATATAGATATATATATATACATATATATATATATATATGGAATATACCCCAAAATTGCATTAGTGTGCAGTGTGCATTAGTAAATATTGAAGAATGTCCTAACGTATTACTAACATTGATATTTCACTTAGATCATTCCAGATATTTGCTCCCCATTGGTCCCCCGCCTCCCAAGCCCATCCAGGCAGCACGGCAAGTGCATCCTGCGAAGAAACCCATGAGGCCGCGGCCTTTGTAGACCAACAGCGCCTCCTGGAGTGGATCAAACCCATAAAGTATGCATAGTTGGCATAGTGTAACTTAGCAATGCCAAAGAAAAAAGGGGGATGCCGGGATGCATAGTTTGATCTTACTTTAGGAAAATCAATCGGAAAAGTGAAGCCTCTGTGCGTGTTGTCCTTTTGCCCGTGTTTCACTTCTGTGGCGAGTCTGGAGTGTAATTGTGTGACGGGGGTGGGAGGTCTTAATCCCCTTATCCCTTATTATAACTTACTTATATATAAATGCAACGCATAGATAGGGGGTCCTAATCTTCCCCTTCATGGAAAATTTCCTGGCACTGGGGTGCTGGGTCCGTACTCAGGGTTCGCCCGTTTGTCCTTTGGGCAAATTTAGCAGGGAAAATAGGAGAAATGTGCAAGAAAGACCGCCTAGCTGGTGGAAGTGAGACTCTTTTGCAGTTTTTCTATGGCTTCCTGTAAATCATATCCTTCCAATCCATCACGGGCGGATCTTGCCTCCTTCAGCAGCTGTGAGGCCTTCTTCGGAGGCGGCCGCGGGTGCTGGGTCTTCGGGCAGAGGTGATCCTCGCGGAGGTTCAGACGAGTCCGCAGCACCTCAGTGACTCAGGGTGAACGAAGTCTGCAAGGTTGTGAAAAACAAGGAACTTATAGGAACTTCATGCTTTGAAAGTGACTTGGAGTTGAAAGTTGAGTCATTACATCGACAGCCCTGTGACCCCTGTGCGATTCAGATCTTTTCATGGATGGATGCAACTCAGATCCCACAGGCACTGCCACCATGGCCCCTGGGCCCCTGGACATCTAAAGGAGTGGACAGAAAGGCAGAGATGACTCCGGCCACCTTGGTGGTCCCGATCCAAGTTGCCACCTATTCCCAGACATGTGAATATCCAGCTGAAGTGTGCTCGCAATCCACGCGATCCTCTGAGCAGTGAAATAGCTTGTCATAACTAAACTAATTTTGGTTCTCTCTCTCTCTCCTAACTTTTTTTGCTTCCAGGAACTACATCTGTATTTGTATCCATTGCGTAAATCATATGATATCCCTATCTTTGGTCGTCAGTTGTCACCCCGTCAATGGGGTTCTGTCTCAAAATGTCTCAGAATTGGTACCCGAGTCCATCCCATAGTTTATCAGCAGTTTTCCTATTGTTTTTGATGGCTATCTTTGGGCATCCCCCAATTTGAGCCAAACCAAAATTGATGATCGACTCTGTTTGATCGAAAAGGCTTTTTTAGATAGATACTGGTAAAATCATGTAAAATCCCAATGTTTGGACACATGAGATAGGTTCTCCATGTTTAAGTTTAGAATTACGATTCATTTGTTCATTCAAATTCATTCAAATCTTCCAATTGTTTAAAATGATTGTGGCAGGGCAGGCACCAAATAATGCAGGCAAAGTGCTGTCCCACAAGACGCAGCCTTGGACCATTTGGGGCGCCGGTGACGAGATTTGGGGCTCGAATTTGATCAAAATATCGGCCCCTGACGATCTTGGAGAATTGTCAAAGGCAAGATGTCACCTTCTAAAATGTATGAAAAACATTGAAAGACATCTTTGGGGATAGCACTCATTGAAATTCACATCTATTGCTCCTAGACCTACAGCACAGTTGTATGAACCAGAGTGTTCCTAGTGCCCTAGGTTGTTGTAGACAGTGGTAGCGAGATGTTGATATCAACAGCACTGAAAAAGAGGACCATGAGGATCTAAGGATCCTGGCAACAAGGAGGGCGACAGAAGCGATGACAGCCCAGACCCTCCCACCTGCCAAGTGGGCAAAGAGTCCTTTGAGATCTCGTTGAGATTGGCACATACCAGCTTTAAGTATTCCTCAGTGGTGGCGCCATAACTTTTCGATGTGAGCAACCGTACTGTGTGGTGGTCAGTATCACTTTTCAATCATCCAACGTGATACACCGTACAGAAATTGCAGTGTGGTGACCTCCAATCACCACTGGGCCACAAAATGCGAAGCAGACGCGCACGCTGGTCGAAAGAAATCGGCCCGCTTGGCACCGGTCAATCTACACAAACCATCTTCTCTACATCGCCGACTTTCCATGGTTTTGCTTTGCCACTGCAGCAGGATGCTTCCAAGGGCTGATCAGCAGGCCCGAAAGCCACGTGTTGGGACTTGTTGCTGTGTGTGCCAGCTGATGGGATGCAACAGCGGTTCTTTCTTCCGCAAAGAACCTTGGAGTCTGAGACCAAGGTGTGACCACACTCCGTGTTGTCAACACTTTCGCTCCATTTTCTTCGACACTTTGCTTGAATGCGAGGCCGACAACGGTTGCGGTAGCTATTTTCCTTTATCTCTTTGTTGCACATCAAGCCTTCAGCACAGCAACGCGCTGGCTGTTCATTCCATGGCAAGTCGCCACAGCGTCTTTGACATGGTTTTCCTTTCGCTTGGTCTATCTGGTAGGAGCGTGTGCAACGGGGTCCCCGGCCCTTCACAACGGTGCATGCATAGCCAGTTTCACAGCAGCCAACAGGCTGTTCCCACCGTTCCATGTGAGCACACTCGCAAACTCCGCCTTTTGTGGGTGTTTTGAATGTGGATGTCCTGCACCTAGCACCACGACCTGGCACCTTGGCACATTCCAAGCCTTTGGCACAGCACCCTTCAGGCTGCTCCCTCAAGGGAATGAGCTCACAGTAGCACGCTTCTCCTCCAGGGTTTCAACTTGGAAATTGGTATTAACAGAACCCATGGTTTTGGCATAAGCTTTGGCACAAGCTTTTGGCACAAGGTGGGAGGAGGAACTTCAGGTCCCAGAAACTTTGGCCCAGAAGAATTGGCAACATAAAATGTCGTGTGGCTGTCCTTTCTCCGGTGGTGGTTTGAGGGTGGATTCCCTGCACCGAGGGCCACGCCCCAGTGGCCGGGCACATTCCAAGCCTTTTGCGCAGCACCCTTCGGGCTGCTCCCTCAAGGGGATTTTGTCACAATAGCACGGTTCGCCTCCAGGGTTTCAACCCTTTCAACTCCGTTCCCCTGCAAGAACTGATTCTTGGGGCACAAGCGCTTTGAAAACAACATAACTGGCCAGTGGTTTCCTACTGAGAAATGGTCCGACTAGAATAGTGGAAAATTACTGTTCTATCTTTTTGGGGGGTACGCCACGGCCAAAATACTCCAACCCTGTCCTTTTCCAGGTGCCGTAAGGTTATGATGTGTGTGATCGTCGGTCCGAATGGCGACATGGACCGCCACAAGGCACAAAAGCAACACGAAGCGCATCGTCGTTAAAGAGACAACGGGAAGGCTGTGCCGGGAAGGCTCTCAGCGTTTCAGGTGAGTTACCCTAGTTTTGGGCCAGAAGATCAGAAACGATACGATACTGCACAAGTGTAGAAGTCAAGCATTCACTGCAACTTGCTTGACATCAAACAACACTTGCTGTCTTTGGTGACCTCGCACACCTTGAGATTTGCCAAATTCTGCTGTACCAGTGAGCAGTGAGGAAAATTGTTCTTTTTTCCGGTGACAAATCCTGCTTGAAAAAGATGTTCCCCCTATTTCCCCCTGATGTTCACAAAGGGTTTAAAAACTGGTTTGCAAACGGGTCATTTGATATCCTTTTTGGGCGAAGGTACCTCCAATCTACAACCAACTTGGCCACCTGCAGCAACCAGGTAGCTTCACCAGTTGGGACCAGGCACATACATGGGAAACTGCAAGCTGCTGTGGGTCACATCCCTCAGCAGTGATGCCTGGAACACATGATGTGGAACAGCATGTAAAAACACATCCCCATGTTGAATCGCCTTCAATTACTTCATGCACTATGATATCCCTAGTTTTTACTGTTTCGGCATGTTTGGGCATGCCGGGCAGTGATCAAAGACATGCGGGATGCCAAAAAAATGCATTGCGGATCCCACCATCCCATCAGCCCATTATGCCACTGACTGCAGTGTCATTCTTATTACAATGATAAGAATAACAATACTGATAACAATACTGATAGCAACAACAACAAAAGACAACAAAACACAAACATGTTCATATTCATCATTTAAAAAAAAAACAACGAGAAATACCATCCTGCCAGTCCATCCTGCAAGGACGCCACAAAGATGGAGCCCTGTGTGCTCACCACGCCCTGCACCACGGCGCCCAAGCGCTGCCCACCGCCCGCTTGCTGCCGTTGCTTCACCAAATCCACCGGGACACGCCAGATGCCCGCGGCCAGTTCACCCAGGATGGAGGCCACCAAGCCGATGCCGCAGTAGGCCAGGACCTAAGGCACCATGAAGCAACCATGGCATTTTGGAGTGCTATGTGTATGTGTATATATACATATTTATTTATTTATGTATTTATTTATTTATGTATGTATTTATTTATTTATGTATTTATTTATTCATTTATGTATTTATTTGTTTATTTATGTATTTATTTATTTATTTATGTATTTATCTATTTATTTATATATTTATTTATTTATTTATGTATTTATTTATTTACTTATTTATGTATTTATTTATTTATTTATGTATTTATTTATTTATGTATTTATGTATTTATTTATTTATTTATGTATTTATTTATTTATTTATATATTTATATATTTATTTATTTATTTATGTATTTATTTATTTATTTATGTATTTATTTATTTATATATTTATTTATTTATTTATGTATTTATTTATTTATGTATTTATTTATTTATTTATGTATTTATTTATTTATGTATTTATTTATTTATTTATATATTTATTTATTTATGTATTTATTTATTTATGTATTTATTTATTTATATATTTATTCATTTATTTATTTATGTATTTATTTATTTATATATTTATTTATTTATTTATATATTTATTTATTTATTTATTTTTTATTTATATATTTATTTATTTATTTATGTATTTATTTATTTATATATTTATTTATTTATATATTTATTTATTTATATATTTATTTATTTATTTATGTTTTTATTTTTTTTATTTATATATTTATTTATTTTTTTATTTATTTATATATTTATTTATTTATTTTTATATTTTTTTAATTTATATTTATAATTATATTTATATTTATATTTATCTATCTATCTATCTATTCATTTATTTATTTATAATATATATATATATATGTGTGTGTGTGTACGTGTCTGTGTGTAGGTGTGTGTGTGTATGTGTGTATGTATGTATGTATGCATGCATGCATGCATGTATGTATGAATGAATGAATGAATGAATGTCTGTCTGTCTGTCCGTCTGTCTGTCCTGTCCTGGGCTGGGCGGGTCTGGTCACGGTCTGGTCTGGTCTGGTCTGGTCTTGTCTGTATGTATGTATATATGTATATACACGTGTATGTATATGCATGTATATGTGTATATGTGAGTGTGGAAAATAGCTGATGTCTTATGGATGTTCATTCGGTTTGGAACCATCATCGTATAAAGAGGGGCTAGCCTGTTGTGTTTTAATGTCCAGAAGTATGCATCCGAATAAACGAATCATCACCCCTGCGCATGAACACATGGCTATAGATAGATATATCGACGTAGAGATAAAGAAATAGATACATAGACATAGATACCGTATGGACTTTAATGTAGGTAAAGAAATGGATATTGATATAGTTAAAGATATGGGTATTGATGTGGGCAAAGAAAGGAATCTGGACATGGATGTGGGTCCTGAGAGATTCGAATCTACTATGTAGCGTGCTATCACTCCGGAGGATGAGATTTGTTGAAGTCATGGCCTGCAGCCACTTACTTACATGGTATGTTGTTGAGGAGATGTCATTGAACCGACAGAGCTCAGAATCAGCCTGACTTAAGCGGCAAGGCTCGAGCTCAAGGACCCTTTCAGTTCGCTATGTTCTGAGGTGCCGGCAGAATTGCTCTTGTCCTAGGCATTGCTAAGGGCAGCAGAATAAAAGCTATGTTTAAACAAACAACCACCAACTCCAAACGTCCAGATTCAAAGTATTTGAAAGTCACGGCCCCGTCTCGATAAAGCCTTAAGGTATTCATATGAGGGGAGGGTGTGATCGTGACCACCGTTGCCGGGATCTATCGAATCTTGCACAAGTCGAGGTCCCAAGTTCATCAACGGTCAAGTTGCTATCTTCAACTGGTGTTTTTCCATTTTTGTCACAATTCTGCCCTTTCAAATAAATATGTACATATATAACTCTATATATATATAGGTGGGGTCGATGGGTGGTTTCTTTGAGACGTATATTCTGATAGCTCCTGGCTGCATGAATGGCTGAAACCAGACCTGGTTGCTGCTTGCAATCAAGGCGCAAAAGGCATCAGCGCCTTTTTTGTTGTCCTTGGACGGCGTTTCGGACCTTGCCTGCTACCGTCTGGTCTTCACCTATGTAACTTCTTTCGCAAAACTCTCAACAATGGTTGATCAAAACCACAATCTCGTGACCAAGCACCGTGGTGCCTCAATTCGCCTGGGAAGTCCCGTAAACATTTGCAAGTAGAAATATCTGTGTCTGAAAATGGTGGATTTTCTCTCAAAATGCTAATTTAATGTCATTTAATTGGGACAATGATCATCAACCAGTGAATGATATAGGGTACAAGATTTGTGGATCAACCCAAATGGTTTCGGATCTCAATTTGGGCTTTTCGAGTGACTTTCTCTGCCGTTTTCTGCGCTCTCTGGGTCATGTACCTTTGCCAACAAGTGTCTCATATGTTGAGAAGAAAATTGCGGAGGCGGGAGCTGCAGCAGTTATCGAAATGAAAACCTCAGCAAGTACCAACTGCAGCTGCGCCCCAGGCTGACACATGAGGCTGAATGAATAAAAATAGGATGGCAAATATAGCACATCCAGAAAACCAAGTGACCACCGACTACCTGACTTGATATGTGGTAGGTTTCACTGACCAGCTGACTTATTGTTGACACATTGATTTTCCAAACGCCAATTGGACTTAAGGTTCCAACTCCTCGATAGATGTTCCGAAAACCTCCGGACTCCTTGGCTCTGTCAGCATGAGGAGCGTTGCAAGATCTGGTCTAGTTGTTAAGCCAGGTGCACACCTGTCCGCAAACACAACACTTAATCGTTCATTCAAACAGTCGATAATTGTATGATCAAGAAAACGATTGATTTACAAGAAAAAAATGATTGATCTTGGATACCATCAATTGGTTGGTTTTCCTCTTCAGGCTGATCATAATCGAACGACTCCAGCAGTGAAATCAAGGTTCGATGAAACCGTGCCGACTTTGAAGGCGAGTCTTGAGACCTGGCAGGGCAGTGCCCCACAGAAAAGGTGATAACAAATCCACTTCATCAGTGGTGGTTGGTGTGGGGACAAAAAAAAAACAACAGAAACAGCCAGTTTTACAATCCAGAAAAAAAATGTCAGTTGGAAAAAATCCAGTGCCTTTGATAATATGGATTTGTTTGTGTAATGTTGTTTGTTCCGCCAGGTGTTTCAAGATTATGCATACTCCAACAATGTTGGTGATAAATCCTCCACAAATTACAAATGGCAATAGGATGTCAGGCATCCATAGTTCATCAATTTACAAATTATTTTTTTTTCATGCATTTCTTCGTTGTTTTATTTCCATAGTCAGAAAACTCCGACATTTTCCTTCAAAATTCAAAACTCCATTGCAACGGTAATGGGATGTGGTTCACCCCCACAACACAACACCATGAGCCCGCTGGGAGCCGAGGCAGTCCAACGGGAACAGCAGCGTTTCGGATGCTACTCCAGCAAACGCACCTTCAAAGCGGTTCCAGCCAACAGCTATGCCCTTGCAAGGTTTGAAAAAAACATTCAGTAAATTTAGATGTGCATGAGTATCTACAAAATCATTTGTAAATAAATTCATGCATGCATACGTACATCTAAACAAATATATATATATATATACATAAGCATTTACATATACACGTACACCGACTTAAGCATCTACATATACGTACAAGTGCCCGTACACGTATGCACATACACATACACAGACACATACACATACACAGGCACATGCACATACACCTGCATATGGACAAATACATGTACACATGCACGTCTACATGTACATGAGCACACGCATTCACAATGTACATAAATATTTGCATTTACACATACAAATACATGTACATATACCTGTACATAGGAAAAAAAATATTATACATACACACATACATGTACCTCTACATATGTACAAATACGAATACAAATGCCAATTTTTCGCTTGCCCTTGGTCCCGCTGCCCGTAGAATCTTTATTGTTTTGAAATGGGTCCCCATCATAGTCTGTGGGGCTTATCTGGTTGTGAATGATTACCTTAAACCTAAACAATCACTGCCGTCTAGGGCGTCCAACTCGACGCTTGCCAACATCGATGGGTTCAGCACTATCTGGCTGGTATGAGACGTGTGTTAGATGAGAGGCGAGGAAGGTTGGCTGGACACATTTTGCGTGCGTCAAATTGTGACCTTCTTCTCACACAAGTCTCATACAAATACCAGTGCGAATCCATATTCATACACATATGCGGCATCTGCGTACAAAAATACATAAACGTATACTCATACGTCTACGTATACACATGCATGTACAGGAACATAAACATTTTCATTTACATATGCACATGTACATATACAAATGCAAGTGTAACATCCAAATCCCTTAACATATACGTGCATATGGTAACGCACGCTTACACATACACATACACATCCACAAACACTCACACATACACCTGCACATACAGATCCGCATATACATATACGTATGCATTTTCATGCCCATGCACGTGCACATGTACATGTACATATACACACATATTTCTACATATGCTTATTGATCCCAATGGCCCAATGACTTTTGTTGGGTCATGGTGATGCACGGTTTCAATGCTCGAGATGGGTTCGGATCATACACTATTGGATGCCCGATCAACAACCTGATAAAAGGGGATTTAAGAAGATTTGAAAACCGTTTCATGTGGGTGAACAAAACATAGAAATCACTGGGAACCATTCATTCTTGTTTTCGGAAAAACGAAAACGGGTGAATGCCACCTCGCTCCCTCAAATGCTACAAACTTTGCCAACAACATCCTGGAAAGAGCGAGCCTGAACACAAAGGGATGAAGTAAGGATTTTCCTTCAAGAACCACCGGCCGCACAAGTTTGCAAAAGCCATGTTTTCTTTCACGCATGCAAGAGCAAAGTATGTGGAAACAATTCCACCAACAATATTTTGTAATTTTTGCACTCCTTGCACCACTGCGCGAAGCCCGGGAGCTCTTGCTGGTCTGGTGCGTCTAAACTCTGACAGCAAGTGACTCCGCTCCATGAAAGCGGCATGCACCCGATCCGATGATTTGGATGTGACTTGCAGCGGAACTCCCACTTGCATCTTCTATTGTGAATGAATTTCATCTCAATAATCTGTACATGTGTATTTCTAGTTTTGGGCAGATGCTGCAAAAGCAATTCTGCTGACTTGTGTGCTCACTGGTTGTTTCACATGAATACAAAAAATGCAACCTTTCTTTGTGTGAGAATGCGTGCACATACTTTGCCACAGCCAAAACAGCCGCAGCAAGCAAGAATGTTGCCAGCGGGCATTTGTATACTGCAATGTGTTTGATCATCATGTTCTGGATAAACGGCAAAATTTGGGCGTCAACAAACCCACAATTGAAATACCCATTTTGCGGATGTCATAATTTTGGGCCGGTTCCCTGACTCTTGACAATCAAAGTCGGTCGGGTTCCCGCTCAGGTGACATGTTTCATGCCACAGTTCGCACAACCTTTCGCCACCGCTCGTAGTGTGTTCCCTATAGACGTGCCTATGGGAAAAAATTTGAAACTAGACGACGGTTGGCCCGAGAGCGAAAAAAACAGTTTTTCAAGCAGCTCTGAGGATGGTAATCGTAAAAGATAGTCGGTGAATAGTTGGTGAATTTTATATGAGCTATGGAAAGATATGGTGTGAAAAAGTAAGATTGATTAAGAAGAGGGTACTTGGTAAAGGACATCAGATGACACGTGTCTTGCAACCACAGAGAGAAAGAGGGAAGAGAGAGAGAGAGAGAGAGAGAATGAAAGGGGGGTAGAAAGAAAACATGGAGAAATATAATGTGAGCAACAAAAATGCACAGGAGGAGGCTCGGTACCATGATGCTGCGAACGAAATGTGTAATTTCATTTTATTATGGTAATTCCTACACACATTGCCGAAAAAATTTGGCACCATCATTCCGTGGATGTGAAGAAACGCGACGCTTTCATACAGAGACGTTTTTATACAGAGACGCTTTTACACACAGACGTTTTTACACACAGACACAGACAGTTTTACACACAGACGCTTTCACAAAGAGACGCTTTTACACGCACAAAAACTTTTACACACAGACGCTTTTACACACGGACACTTTTACACACAGACCCTTTTACACACATATTGTTTTACACACAAACGCTTTTACACATAAAGGTTTTTACACACAGAAGTTTTTACACACAGACACTTTTACACACAGACGTTTTTACACACAGACCCTTTTTGCACACAGACACATTTACACGCAGAAGCTTTTACACCAAGACGTTTTTCCACACAGAAACTTTTACTCACAGGCTCTTGTACACACAGACGCTTTTATAGACAAAACCCGTTTCACACAGGCGCTTTTACAGGACGACGCTTTTACAACACATACCAACACGAAATGATGCTTTGAAATCGCAGTGAAACGTCGTGGCTCAGAAGTGCCAACCTTAGTGCACAGCACAGCGCTGAACACATTCCAGTAATTTGATTTACTTCAAGACCAAAAACATCCATCAAAAACCCAAGCCGGTACCCAACTGGCGCAAGAACCACCTCGGAACTTTCAGATTGCACGATCATAGTTGTGCAGTCGTACCTTTTACACACAGATTTTTTTCCACACAGAAATTTTTACATACAGACCCTTTTACACACAGATGTTTTTACACACAGAAGTTTTTACACACGGAAGTTTTTACACACAGACTCCTTTACACACAGACACTTTTACACACAGACGCTTTACACACAGACGCTTTTACACACACACGTTTTTACATACAGACTTTTTTAAACACAGACGCTTTTACATGGGACAAGTTAAATCGCAATTTTACCTCAGTTTTTCTTCTGCTTTTGTGACGTCCAACGTCCATTTCGTGCGAAAGGGTTGCCCGCGACACCTCAAAATCGCAGTTTTACCTCAGTTTTTGACGTCCAACGTCCATTTCGTGCGAAAAGTTGCAATGGGCACCTCAAAGTCCAACGTCCATTTCGTGCGAAAGGGTTGCGCTCGACTAACTAAAATCCTGATTGTACCTCGGTTTTTGACGTCCAACGTCCATTTCGTGCGAAGGGGTTGCGGGCGACCAACGAAAATCACAATTTTACCGCAGTTTTTGACGTCCAACGTCCATTTCATGCGAAAGGGTTGCGATGGACACCTCAAAATCGCAATTTTACCGCAGTTTTTGACGTCCAACGTTCATTTCGTGCGAAAGGGTTGCGTGGCGCTCCGGTGGCACCGCCCCCGCCTTAAGAGAGAGATAGAAGGAAGAGCGAGAGGAGATCTACAAATGTGAAGGTGTGAAGATGTAGATCTGCAGATGTGAAGGTGTGAAGATGTAGATCCGCAGATGCGCAGGTGTGAAAATGTAGATCTGCAGGTGTGAGGGTGTGAAGATGTACGTGAGCAGATGTGAAGGTGTGAAGATGTAGATCTGCAGATGTGCAGGTGTGAAGATGTAGATCTGCAGATGTGAAGGTGTGAAGATCAGCAGGTGTGAGAGTGTGAAGATGTAGATCAGCAGATGTGAGGGTGTGAAGATGTAGATCAGCAGATGCGAAGGTGTGAAGATGTAGATCAGCAGATGTGAGAGTGTGAAGATGTAGATCAGCAGGTGTGAAGGTGTGAAGATCTGCAGATCAGCAAATGTGAGGGTGTGAAGATGTATATACCCGCTGTTTTTTTACGAAGAACCCTTCGCAGGCGCTCTCGGGAAAAATTACATGTTTAAACGTTTTGCAAATCATGAACTGACATGTCATCTGGGGCACTTGGCCGGCGCAATACTTTAGACAAGTGGGGCTTTCTATTTTGTGAGTGCAAGTGGAGAGTCATATATTGCAAATTGTTGTCAGAAAGTGAAAACACATTGGGAAAGTACTTTGCACTCGGGACGCTTTCTTTGGTGTGACGTTCGTCTTGCGCAGCGGCACGCCTGTGAGACGTGAGATGATTTAGAGCAGTTGTTATGTGCCCTTTTTTGAGATTTTGTGGACACGCATGATGATGCCCAGAAGCGGTTGGAACATGTTTGTCGTGTTGTACATTTAAACGCGCTCGAGCAACGCTACTTGAACTCATTTTTTGAGAGAAGAACGTGACCGGCACGCAGCCAGCACGGGCACTAAAAGAGGTTTGGCGGCACGGGGCACATCTATTATGGCATCCTCGCACAGATTGGGGCCAAAATTTTGACACAAACCAAATCGCAAACGAGGACGACCAGCACAACGGTGGGACGACCTTCTTCCCCAATTTGCTGCGCAACACTTTGGAAACGAACACTGGCTTTTGATTGCTGAGCACGATTCTTCCCGGAATATGAATGAGAAATTATATGTAGAATTTTGCCGGAACTTTCTGACTGATTAGTTCGTGGTTGTTTTCCCGTGTCCCTTCAAGACCATGATAAATTTGAATTGACTCGGAAGGGCGAAAGGGTTCGTACCTTTGCCCAGATTACGTTCTTGAGATACATTTCATGCATGGTTTGCTAATAAGTGCTCGGTCAGTGATCGGCGAGAAACTATTTTGGGTAGGCTGAACTCTCTCCAAAAAGTTTATTTTCGAAAGCCGACTCCCACCCGTTTGTGAATGGGATATAATTTCCACATTGGATTTTTATGATTTTTTTACCCCATTTGCCGGTTGCAAAAATCCGAATATTGGATAGAGGAAATGTGTTCGCTTCGCGTTTCCATGTCTGTTGTGGGCCAAACGGACACGATTGTCTCGTTCCAGAACATCGAATTTTCATGCCATGGTTTGCCCCAATCAATGGTGGCTGGTGGAAAATAATGCCTTCGCATTTCAACATCCGAGTCTTTCACATTTTCTTTCCAAGCTGCCCGGTGCCCAGCTCCAAGACATGGCAATCTGGGTAGGATGGACTGTATGTAAGCATTAAAAAAGACAACACAAAATTTGGATCTGCGACCTCGGTTGTTTTTTCCCCGCCAAACGGTGAACTGCCTCAGGGTTTGCACGCTTGACTCCCTTGACTCTCTGCTTCCTCATGTCCAAAAACTGTTCTGCGCCACACCCCCACTGGGACCGATCGCCTCCGACAAACTGTTGACGGAGCCATCACCAGGCGCGCATCGTGGCCGAAATTACTTACCGTGCCCGCGGAAAAACATGTTGCATGTTTGTTGACCAGCACCCTTGTTCAGTAATGTCAGGTTGTGATGAATAGACCTGCTCTCGGAAGGCAGGTGCCTACAGAGAAGGTTCTCTAACCTCGTCAACCCCTAGCAATCTCAGTTTCGGATGACATTAAGTTTGTGCAAAAGTTGCCGGACGACCATCCTACCTTTTACGTGTTCTTCCCTGTTTTGGGACAAATAACACAAAAATCCTTTCATCCTAGCCATTACTTGGCTGCCACGCATTTGCCACCACAAGCAGTGGTATCACATACTTTTCTGAAGGCAGAAAACTTCATAAAGTTCTGATTTTGCTGGCCAGTTGTTTCTTCTAGTTCGTTTGATATTCGGAAATATATCTGGATTTCGCTTGACATGGATTAAAATCCCATGACTTGACTCACGCACATGTGTATATATATTACGCACACACACACAAAGTCTAGTGATTTGGACTTCAATGGTCACGATTTGTTTGCTGAAATCACAACCACGTGTGCAAGAAAATCCGTTTCGAACGAAATTTGTGCGGTGAAGTGGCGTAGTGACAATGGGCAGGCGATCTTGCACGTAGATTACCCAGCAAGTCTAAGGGACAACTTTTTGAGGTCCTATGCGATCTCGTGGAAAGTGGTCCCAAAAGGAACATATTCAGCATAGTTGGGACTATGTACTTTTTGGGTCCTTTGGGCCTAAAAGGAACGTTACACAATACCATCTATAGATATACTCTTTGGGCCCTTTGGGCTACAAAGGAACATGTCATAATACCATAATATAGGATATACTTCCTGGGTCCTTTAGGCTCAAAGGGAACGTTGCACATACATCTCAGGCTGAGGCAGGGGTGTGGTAACCCCGCTTCAGCGAAGGGTTGTGAATGGCATGTGGGCGT